GTATTTGATTATTAAAAAAATTAAAAATAGATAATTTGCATTTTATGGAGGATACAATTTTTTGGGGATTTCAAAATAATGTACTAAAACATTAACAGTAATAAGTTCAAATCTGTAGCAAATATGAATATCGTAATAATTTCTTATAAATACCATTTCCTAATGTAATTTTCCAAGATATTAAAGATCATAATGCAAAAAAACTAAATTTATTAAAAGTAATAGGCTTTATGTTTCTTAAACTACCTACATTTATCAAAGTTTTTATGAACTTTTGAACATATTCGTCCATTAGTTTTATTGTTGGAATGAAATATAGCAAGACTTGCATTGCCTACTAAGAAAGTTAGTAGCCGGTAGTCATCGGGTTAAATAATGGATAAGTTTGGCCCACTTAATAAAGTTTTTAATAATGAGTAGCATATGTTGATTATTATCATCATTCTGTTTAAAAGCACCAGTTATATCCAGGACTGCTACTAGAAGTTTCAACTTTGTATTTGACCTTATCTTCATCTGGACAGGTTTTTTTTTTTTTGAGAGGCATATAGAATACAGTGTTTACTCCATGACATGAAAACAACCAGATAAGAACAGGTTTGCGAAATATTAGTAGCGAGTGCTTCTATTATCATCATTCTGTATAAAAGCACCAGTTATATCTAGGACTGCTACTAGAAGTTTCAACTTTGTATTTGACCTTATCTTCATCTGGACAGGTTTTTTTTTGAGAGGCATATAGAATACAGTGTTTACTCCATGACATGAAAGCAACCAGATAAGAACAGGGTTGCGAAATATTAGTAGCGAGTGCTTCTGTCTTGACAAGCACCATTGCACTCATAAATGCTATTTTTATTTTTACAGCCCTTCTCCTCAATAAATGACATGGTATCTGCTATTTTTGCTTGCCACTGGAAAATTAGGAAGAATGAGAACAATACAATATTGTCACATTTATCTTTCTATCTATGTACTACTAAAACTCTGAGATTGTTTGTTTATCTGTAATTAAATACAGCAAAAATGGTGCACAATATGAGAATAGAAACAGAATAAAACAAGTTTCGTTAAAATCAGGCCACGGGTTACCGAGTTAGCGCCATTTTCCGGGTCACTTTTATGAAAATTTCTAGCATGAGTAATTTTACATCACGCTACCGTTCATGCTCTTTACGAAACTTCTTATTTCAATTCTATTTCCCTTTCAATGTTCCCATCTTCATTAAAAGGTTTACAAGAACAAGATCTTGAAGAATTTCTCAATAATGTGCCTTGGTTATACTAGGTAAGGAAATGAGAAAATTTTCTCAGTCAAAAAAATTATTTGCTGTGAAACAGTGAGAAAGATCTTTCATATGGTGAATTTCGTAGTGTATCAGTTATCAAGTTTTGCTGTTTCTTGCAGTAATTTGAGCAAGTAAGTATGAAATGTTTTTCTGAAATAGCTGTTTTTGGTTTTTTATAGCAATTACATTCTAATAAACCATGAATAATGTTACTATTATCTGTTATTTCTTATTTTCAGGCATTTTGAATCAACTGTGAATAAGGTTTGCCAATCTTTTCGTGATGAAAGGTGACCTTGATTAGGTGAGTTGATAACATGATTTTCTTCATATATTGGCAATCTAATTTAATGCATGCATTTTCTTATTAGATCATGCCTCGACAAGAAAGAAAGAGAGGCTCTGGTTGGTTCATGCACAATGCGAAGACAGCGCGGTTAAGGAGAACCAGAGAAACTATGAGGAAAGGGTTGAATGCCAACAACATGATCGTGAAAGGCATATCGATAGAAGGAACAAAGAGATGAAGGAGGAAAGAGCTGAACGTCTCAATGATCAGAGAAATAGGACTAGCAACAGAAGGAACAAAAAGACTGAGGAGGAAAGAGCTGAACACCTCCACCAACAAAACATTAGAAATAAAGCAAGGAGACTTCAATGACGTGACCTATCTGCTGATGTTGAACAGATGAATAAGATCTGCCCCCATTGTTGTGCATATCTTTTTCATGGTGAGACTGCTAACTTTTGCAAATTAGACGTAAAATATCATTACTTCATATAATAACTCTTCTTTTGCATTCTTTGTAGAACTGTTGTACAAATGTTATTCTGTTAGTTTTACATAAATATATGCTGCTATTGGAGTTCAATTTATTCTGGAAGTGACAATTCTAGATGATGTCAAGAGTGATGGAGTCTAAATATTTGATCATTTACAAACGAAACATGCAAATCAGAGGAAAAAATAAAGTGTTACTGTTTCTTATTTGTAGAAGGTTTAAAAGGAAAGATCTCAACATAATGAACTAATTCATCACAATGTCTGAAAACTCTGACTTCACTTTTTTGAAAAATGAAATGGTGTTTCCTTTTACTCCCGATCAACAATCAAATATATTTTCTTGAATTATGAATAACACAAATAGATTGAAATATTTAATTAAATTATCTGAAAATAAACCTTCATTTCGGTGCAATATTGAAATTAGCTTGAATTCTTCATAACCTCTGAATAGGGGGTCACCCAATGGGTCATGGGTGGTCTAGTTGAAAATAATTTTGTGTCTCAGATTTTTGATCCATGGCAATGCAGTAACTGTAAATCTTCAGTGACCTTGTTGCTATGTGTACACACTGCGCTTTAGTTGGTCTCTCGATCTGCCCAGTCATATGGCATGTATGAACTATATTTTTGTATGTGGTATGGTATAGTTCATTATAAACATTTTATTGAAATTGTTCAAAGAAAATATGACAACAATTTATCATTTTATAGTAATAGATGTGTTAACTGACATTTTAAAAATGTATTTGAAAACTTTAACCATGACCTAGTTGTGACACTTTGTTACTTGCTGCATATGTATCCTCTAAAATATTCAAACCTTTTAGAAACTAAAACTGTAAAGAAAAAAAATGCTAACAGTCTCTATGGGGTGTTTGATATGGACTGTTTACAGCTCCCATTTATTTTTCAAACATAAAATATCAAGTAATAGTGCATAAAACATACTTGTTTCAAGCAAGACTATAGTATCTACTGCCATAGAACCTTGAAAGCTGTGTGTCTGTTTGAGTAAAAAAATAAATGGTTTGGACATGATGAGTGTGTAATACCCATTGAAAACAATCTTTATCAAAGACACACACACCTTGCTTTTGGATGCTGGACAGTCTCCTTTAACCCTTTCATGATGGGTTCAGTATAAAAGACACAAGTTTGTATACACATTAGCTCATGTTAAGTATTTGTACCATAACTTTTAATGTAGTATGTATATCTTCACAAAATTTAGCAGACTTTTGGTAAACATTACAAGTCTTCTGTACACAAAAAATCAGATTTTTTAATGAAGTATTTTTACTAAAGATTTGTTTGTGAATATATTGAGTCTGTTTCATTACTAGTCCAAGTGCAAAGTGGTTTTCATGTTATTATTAAAAAAATTATTCTTTGTCTCAAAAATCTCAAATATAATTTGCGTAATCTCTAAAACCTCCTAAGTACATTTAAAATGTTTGTTTTTAGTAAAACTATGTTTTATCTGTTATTTTCTCTACCCTAACTCTATACGGGGTTGGTCACTTTGACTGACCTCATAACTACCAAAGATAAAAAAATAAATTGAAATGAATCTAAATTATCTTTTTTTTCTTTCAAATTATAACATGAAACTACATTCATTTATCCTCAGTAGCTTCAAACTTGTAACAGTATACAGCTATTTATACTTAAATTTTATTGCTCTTTGAATAATTAGCTACTATTATTCATGCTATTATAAGTTGTAAATAACTTGGGGATCGTGGAGCTCACATTACACTATCGAATTACCTTACCCACTAGCTACTCAGAGTCCGAGCTGCTCGCACGCATGCCTCATGAAACATATTTATTATAATATTATTATTTATTTTACCTAATCTAACCTCAAGAGATCCTTAATTTTAAATTTTAGTTACTTTTATAATAATAAATAAAGAATAAACATGAAAAACAAGAAATAAAGGACTTACCCGAGTATTCTTTTTTTCTTCTTCTTCTTTTTTTTTTGCTGACCATACTTAACCCTCCTTTTTTTTTTATACCAATAGTAGTAACGCACTAAATAATATTTTTAAATTAAATAATGCACCAAAGAAGATAGAATAATAACATACAAAAAGCAGACAGTTATTCCTCTAACTATTAAAAATTTTCTGGCTTTCTAACTATGTGACAAAAACCGTTACAAGTTCATCTAAACTAGTGGTTACCATTCCCGTGGGAGCGAAGCTTGTATAAACTGAGAAATTGACAATTCTCTGTTCAGAAAACAACATAATATAATACATCATTTGATAGATGAAACCCTTGGCTTTCTATTGGTTAGACTTAAACATAAGAGAGAACTTATAACAAATCCTGAAAGAGAGGATGTGACAGGTCGGTGTGGCAAGAGGGGTCTGATTTTCTATTTGATGGGTCTGTAGCCAAACAATTTTATAATGAGTGGTTGACGTTAAATTTCTTAATTAATGGAGGGGTAGTGAATAAAATAGAGAAGAGGGGATGCCAAGAAAGAATATGTCACATTTCTCATGCTAGGGGAAATTCAGGATTTTTTAAAATATTGCCATATAAAATTGAGAACTTAAACTTGTATACTATTAAAATATGGATTATTAGCCACATTTTTATGCTATACTAATTGGTATAATATAAACAAAAGGTAGTTTAATTAAATTTTTAAAATAACTTGCTAAAAGACCATGATATGTTCAGTTAGACCCACCCATCACAAAAGAGTTAATTGGACTTGTGAATTTATTAAACTAGTGTTCTTGCCTTGAGATTTGTTGTCACTAGCCAGTTCCCATAAGGTCCATTACATGAATGCTGCTGTTGTATTTTCAGGTGAAACTGATTTCCCTAAAGAGTGATTTAGGTAGGTTTGCTATATAACAAGAGGATCAGCAAAATATATTGCAAAGTGATTCTGAATTTATCTAAAACTAACTGAACTTGAGTAAAGAAGTAAATGGCTAGGACATGATGTATGTAATACCCAATGAAAACAATCTTTATCAAAGACACAAACAACTTGTTTTTGGATTTTGGACAGTCTCTTTTAATTGGATTTGTGAATTTATTAAACTTGTGTTCTTACCTTGAGATTTACCACTAACCAATTTCCTCAAGGACCAGTACATGAACGATTAAGTGTAATGTTTTTTACTTAATGGGAAATTTTGGAGTCACCCATAATGACTAATGCTACGCATGTGACTTTGTAAGACAATTACAAATTTGTTCCAGTCTTTCAGTTGTCAATACTCATTGTTTGGCACATGAATTCAACATGTGCATGTAAAGAGTAATATTGCTGTAAGTAGCAATGTCTTCTTGTGCATACTGCTATATCTATACCCAGGGCTTAACTGATTTTATATTTGGTAAATTATTTTATGTATTTTTTTATTATAATGGCCAGATATTATTTAAAGAAAAATCCTGTCATTTTCTTATCAAAAATACAAAGGATCTCTGTGAGTGATTATTATAAAAATATTCTAGTGTAACCCTATAATCTTAGGATTGGTTTAGTAAAACACAACTCTTATTCAAAACTATATTTTATTCTTGTTCTTAATATTTGACATGTGATATGTCATTAGTGTAGCTATGGAAAGTTTTTAATATAGTATTTAAATGTATAGCTCTACATTATTTTTATTATCTTCAAGTCCTAATCTAATCCCCCAAAACACCCTAGAATTATGGTGCATAAAAAGTGTTGCCTTGATAGCCTTCTCAGTAAATGATCTTCCATTTCATAGTAGACTTAGTGTGCATATTTTCAAGAGTAACTAGTCTGTTTAATTTTGGCAATATAATGATTTAAGCAGTGCAGTGACTTAGCTTTTATATATATTGTTGTATACTTTTTTATTATAATTAAATATATCTTCAACAGCTGAGTAATACCAAAATCAGTAGATTACCCAGAAGAATTAAAAACATTATCACAGCAGTCTCTCATATTGTTTGACATACACAATTTTAACAAACATCAACCATTACAATAACATTTAGTCATAGATGAACACAAAAAAATCAATGAATGTTTTTTCAAAAATAATAGTTTTTATTTTTATTAGATATTGCTAAATATATATCAAAAATCTCTTCATAAAAATTGCTTGATTCAGCAACCATTTGTGTGACTTCTTATGAATGAAACATCTGGCTGTTAGGCATCATGATATCAATTATACATTTGGAAGTAATGAATAAAATTGGTTGTTTTTAATATTTGCTTGGCTTCCATTTTGTGATTAAACTGTTTCTATTTACTTTTTTGCATAACATTAGTTCAGTGGTCTCTATACACTGTAGTTAAATGGTGTAGAAAAGTTTTAAATATTTTTCAATTGGTTAAAGTTTAAACAGTAAATGGTTTAAAACACACTTTATACACATTAATCCAGCAGCAGGGTTGTAAATCTTACTTTAAAATTTATACTGCTGGCCTTATGTAGTTTCATGCCAAGCTAATACAAGTTCACACTGGAATTATTTGATTGTGTTAAAAGTTAGAAGCCACTGTAACAGATGACTTGCATATTAGTGCAGCAGTATAGAGATATTAAAAATAAACTTAGATAGAAGTTGCACTTATCTGCATTTAATTAGCAACAAATAGTCCAAAATTTATTTCAATTTTAAAATTGCAAATATGTGGAAGGTAACATTTTCTATAAATATGATCAAATAATTTAATCCTTAAAAGTTTGAACTTGATGTACAAGGTGTCTGAAAAGTCTGGAACCATAGATGATTTACAGCTTTTCTTAATTCCATAGATGTAACTGGTAATAGTGCTGTCAAAGCATGAGAAGGTCAAGTTAATCCTGCTGTTAATTCAAACTTGCTTTGAATTAGAAGGACAGCATATAGAACACATTTTGTAAAATTCATTGAATTGCCTATGGTTCCAGACTTTTTGGAGACCCTGTATAATGCCATTTTAACTGTGCTCCAGTTGTGTAATTCCATGCCAAACACAAAATTTTGTATTTACGCACAATTACACTTATTACAAGCTACAGATGTAATCATTATTACTTAGGGTAAGATTGCTTTAATTAAAAACTTTCCAATGAGTTAATATTTATTCTTTATTGGCTCAAAAAATGCACATATAACAGACTATGTAACACTATTAAGATGGTAACCTATTAATTATGACTAGCTGTAGCTAATTGGAAAGCACTGAAAAGAAAAACAAAAGTTTGGCTGTTGCTATGTTCTGCTTAAACACTTCCTTGAAATTGTTTGATGTATTAATTTCTCAGATCATGTGTTTCTACAGTTTATTCCAGTTTGTACTGAAAAATGTAAACATATTAATTATTTAAAGTGTTATTTCTAATCTATCATTATCAATAACTCCTAGCTAAAAAGCTTTATTTTTTTTACTTTCAAAATTGTTTCACACTAATAATGGTATTAGAAAATAATTTTGGAAGATTGATAATTTAATATTGCTATGTTTTTAGTATTTCTTATATTACAATGTTCACTTTATGAATTATTTTAATTCCAACAAAGGTCATCTAGTGTCATCATAAGTTTTCTTCCTAAGTAATAAACATTGTACTGTCTTTTTTTAACGATGAATCACTTTATTTGACAATATTGTACTAAAACCAGATATCCCAGTTCTTTGTAACAATATCCCACCCTCTCTAACAACAATTATTTTTAACAAAGAATTAGTTTAATTATTAACAAATATCAGTTTTTCTGTCACAATCTTATACCTTTTTTCCAACCTTAGTGACACTTATTGGTTATATAGCACATCTTAACCCTTTCGAGACAGGTCACGAGTGAAAGGCCATGTCATCTCATTCAAAATTTTATTGAACTATTATTTCATGAATTTATGTCAATAAGTTTGGTATCAAACTGTGGATTAAAATTCAAATTTTAGAACTATACATTACTCAGTTTCTTAATTTAAAAGTAAATATTAAGAAAAAACAGATAGACATCAATTTTTGTGTGTCACGTGGTATGGTGAATGCAGCACTGGTTGAAATTAGATGTTTGTGAGGTCAAAATACTAAGTCTATAGTTTCGTACAAATTAGAAACTCAAATTACCAATATTGACTAGCTAGAATATAAAATAAGAGCCTTTTATCTTTTCGATTTGCTAAGATATTGCTCATGTAATGAATCAAACACAGTGGCACCCCACCCACCTCTGTTTAATTTTGGAAACACTCCCTTATATACACTTCTATGTATGACATGAATAACCAATTAGAAGCTCATAATGGCCCCCTAGTGACTTTCTCAGCCATTTTAATGGACTTGGTGCCAATTCTTTCTTTTGAACCAATATTTCAATGAGGTAGGGTGTGTCTTTAGTCTCCTCAATATTTTTTATATACTAAAGTACATCTTAGTTACTAAGCTTTATAAGTTATAGTGGAATTTTATGGTATTAATGTAGTAATTTATGTTTTTTCAGTTATTCAAACGTATATATAAAACCTAAAAAATATTTTATTTGATATCCTCCATGTGCAAATTTTTTAAAGTCTAAGCAACCTACATCAAGCAATAACCGAGTACAAAGATTGTAACTAGGAGAGATAATTGTTTGCTTTACTTCTTTAGTTACTGTTCTATGTTTTAAGAAAAATAAGTTTAAGAACTTATTTCAAAATAGCAAAAATCTATCTACATATATAATGTATAATAATTGAAATGTGACTGTATTTTACAAAATACTAGTCTACTAAAATACAGCCAAGACAAGTTACTTTGTGTAGGTCAGTTTTATGTCATTTGATACGGTAACATGAGTGCACATGAGCTGCATCATTGTAACTTCTGTATTGTTAGTGAACCCTGGCTGAAGGGTCAATGTAATAAAAATAATAAATATAAATAAATGTATAATGTTATGAGATTTAAGCTATCTCACCTAAACTTGTATGTTTTTGTGTTTTAATTTGTGTTCATTCCAGAATGAAAGAGGCATAATTTATGTTTATTTCCTAATTTTTGTATGGTGGTTGCGAGATTGGTCAAATCTACAGAACCTGTACTGAGATTAGTTACTGAAAATAACACATAGAATATAAAGTTTTTTTTCTAAGAAATGTTTGATAACTATTCGGACATTATAAAGATTTCACATATGAAATTTCAAAATTTTCTGATGTATAAAAGGATTTTTAATCTTAAAATTAAAATTACTTTGCATGATATATAGGCAACATGTGAAAATAAAATAAGGCATGAGAAAAACATTGCTTTACAAACCTTAAGACGTAATAAAAAAAATTTGCTATTTTGCATAATGAAAGCATTGTTATGTTTACTGATAATCTGTGAAATTTTACTAACATTCCCTTACTAATTTATAAGTTATAACATGGAAACTATAACTGAAAGAGTTAATGAATGTTATGTTGATTTCACTCTTGCATTATTTCAAGTTCAGCATAGTTGATATGCATTGATATTTGGGGTGTTGGATTTTACCAAAGTTAAAAGGTGGTGCTGGTATGGTGTTATATTATTGATGTCAAATTCACATTGTTATGAGATATATATTTCTGTTGTGCATCCTTTGGTACTTAAAATGTTGCAGAATGTTAATAGTGTGTGAAGGTCATCTAGCTTTCCAAATATACTTAGAATTAATAGAAACTGTCAATTTGATTAGAAGAAATAAATTTTATTCTTATCATATAATATACAACAATCATAACATGATGTAACATAGCTTTTAGACTGTTTTTCATACCACATTTTTACATTTTTGAAACATTTTCATACAGCTGAAACCACAAAAATAGGGTTGGTAATGGTTTGAGGGAAAAGAAAAATCCCCCCTCCCAAAAAAAAATTACTTTGTGGTTGCAGGAGCATTGAGAGCCAGCATGAGCCCCAGGGCAAACATTCGTGCAGGGCCTCTTTTATCCCTTTTTTAATATTTTTAAGAACTTATTAAAAAGAAGATCCTAAATTAGGACAGTAACACCCTCATACACAAGTCAAAATCATATTAGCAGCCATTTTTAGCTCACAGTGGCTGTATGCAAAGAAAAGCCAAAATTATGCTTTTTACATAGATATAGCCTAATGTATGCTATCGTGATGGCATCTAGGCTGCACTTTTTTAAGTCAGACTAGAACACAGATAAGGCATATACAGATGAACTGAATACTGAAAGCCATAAATCTTAAACTTTTGGTGATAAATATATGTTTAACATCATTATGTGATTTTTTTTCTGTGCTGCTATCTCTAGATAAAAGGGCTAAGGTTTGACATTATAGATATTCTTGTGAAATATCCAGTTGAGCACTGTATATAGTTTATTTTAAAAGAATGAAAAGAAAAAGCAAAACTGTGTTTATGAAAAAGGTTTATCTTATGCAATGTGAACATTAGACCTTACTATGCTAGTAGCCCAGTTTTTATATTAGAAATGTTGTGTAGAAGAAGAGTAATGATGTGGAAAAACAAACTAAACACATTTGCAAATAATTAAATAAGCTCTAGAATGAATATTTGAATAATTCTTTTTATAATGCTCTGTAAGTAACATTGTTCACAGTTAGTTAGTAACTGCTCTTCATAGTGTTTAAATGTTTTATTAGATTGGTCTTGCAAAAAGATGAAATGTAGAGGAAAGTTCTTTGTTAGATTGGGTATTCGGACTGGTTGAATGTGAAAAGTTATGAAAAAAAATCATTTTTAGCTGCAGCATAGTGGCTCATAGAATGGCTCTGATTTTTTTTTTAATACTATGAATTATCTTTAATTACTTAATTTTAAAGTCACATCTGGAAGAGGTTATTGAAAATTTTTTTGTTTATTAGGTTAACCTAACATGTTAGATTTATGCTTATTTTACATATGTAATGTTTTGTCTTTCTTAATCCAGTTTTATTGTAATCTTATGTGTAACATTGCACTTTGTGCCAAAAACTTTAATGATTTATAAGAAAAATGTTTCTATAAATTTTGTAGTTCAAACTTTAATAATTACATTTACATAAGAGATATAAAATGCAAAGTCTAGTTTCTGAAATTAAACATTTTTTGTCCTCAGATCCTGCTAAACTGAGCATGAATACTCCAAAGGTCATCAGGAAAAAAGAAAAGAGCAAAATGTGGAAAAGAGTTTCTATGATAAGAGTACACTGAACAAACATATTGTTAGAAAATGCCAGATCTGAACACTTGGTTTCTTACATAAGTACATTAATTTGTAACTTCATTTTATATTATAAATGATTATCATTGTTTCAGGGATAATGAATTATCTAATAGAGAGAGATTTAGAACTACAACTAGGGTTAGTCATAGATAATAACTGTATTGTAATATGATAATTAATTTATACTTTGCAAATTATAAACTGAAATTGTTGATTTATAAAATATACTATTAATATTTTTTTTAAATAATAGTACAGCCTGGTATTCAAAGTTGTGTAAAATACTATTTATGTTTTGTATATTAATTATAAAATACACAGATAAGGTTTTATTCTTCCTTTTTTTTAAATCTTCCAGACATCTTAATTTTCTATTACCAGGAAATGTGTAACTTGTAGATTTATTAATGGGAAAAAGATCAGTAATTTATCAATTTTTTTGTCTCATATTTAATACAAGTAAATTTGTTCACCTTTAATTTTTGTATTTTTTTCACAATCAGGTATCTACAAGATATAAGTGTTTACTTGGAAAACAATATTATGATTATGAGGGCATGTGGGATATAAACAAAAAATAGTATATTAAATGCTCATAATGATATGCATTGTGAAGTAAATAAATGGCTAGGTTTTATGATATGATATAAAAATTTGTAGTAGTATGAAAAATTGGGTTCATATATGCATGTCTACAGAAATGAAAATGCACACTACTACAAGGAAGTAGTTCAATTACAAAACAAAATAACACAGCTTTTTATAGACTTTATTCTTAAAATTATCCTTATTCCAGTTTAATTTCTTCTTGTCTATTTCTCAGCTTTTATTTAAAGGATTAGAACGTTTAAAGTGTATTTTCTAAAAATGCACACACATGAACCAGTAGCCTGGACATGTCTTATCAATGAATGTTTAGTGTAAAAAATCATGTAAGTTAAACATGTAATTTTGTACAGTAATATAAGCGTATGTCGTTGCACTTACAACTATTCTAAGTCGTATCACATGTAATTTTTGCATTATTATTATTATTAAAAAAACAAGTAGAACAGAATACGCTGTTGACCATAGTTTATTACCTTAAGTAACGGTCTTTGCAGTTAAGCTGTCAGAGTTGTCATCATCAATTGAGTATGGAGCCTTGTTAATCTGGTAAACTAGAATTATTACTCAAGCATTTGAAAAACTTAATGTATTGTTGTACAGTAAATTATTTTAAAATCTTGTATATTGAACAGGAAGTATTTAAAACAAATTCTGTATATGACCAATTTAAATGTTCTTATTAACAAAAAAAACATACACCAGTGCCATTAAACTTTATAAGGTCAAGCATTTTCACTAATCAGATATGAACTTATTCAATTGTTCGTTATTTTTATCCTATGTTTTAATCACCTTATTTTCATCTCATCATTTGTATAAAACCTAGTAAATGCATTTTTGAAAGCTGTTATCTGTACATGCCCCCACTGAGTTAAATAGTGTGCATTTTGCTTCAACTAACAGATGCTCATTTTTTGCCCCCAGTGATCTTTGAAAATACTAACATTTTGTCCATGTGGTCTAATATAATGTGTAATCTGTACTAATACAGAAAAATTCACCTTTCTTTTATGGTTACTGGTTAATACTGTAGTGTGTTATTCTCAGTATTATTTTGATTCTTCAAAGGACAGAATAACTTAACCTTGTTTTCAGACACAACTAAATAATGTAATTTATTAGTATGAGGTATGCTTGTGTGAGAATTTAAAATATTAAGTGAGAAATCATAACAGTAGGATATACAAAATAAATGACTCATGCTAACAGAAAACAAATTGACTGTTTTAAGTCAAAAATATTTTGCTTGTTTCAAACATGAATAAATAACATTGTAATTTAACATAATAATTATTCTTACAGCAAAATCATAAAATAAATTAAGAAAATTATTTTCTGTAATTCAAAATAACCTTTAAATAGTAAATCATAATCACCCTCAAACACATTCTTGCCAGCATGTTAACATTGTTTAGTTGAAAAAGTAGAAGATAATACATAGGAAAATTTTCAATGTCAGATTTTAATCAAAATAGCAAATACATCAGAAGTAGCATTTTTTTAATGTGCTGGTTGTAACTCAAGTATTTGACAAAAGATTTTTATACAACAGAATTTAAGTAATGATGCCTCTTTAAATAGTCATTTTGTTATTAGAAGCATACTTATAATGTGTGATGTATATCATGTAAGGAAAGTTTTTTTCTTTTTGTCTAATTTCTGCATTTCAAATATATTACAAGATTTTTATGTCATACTAGACCACTATGGAGCATGTGAAATGTGTAAGGTTTTCAGATGTATTTATTTAACTGTCAGGAGGTGGTTATTATCATGTGACACTATTTTCAAGGAGACTTAAATCATTGGTGGGGTTATTACATATAGAGCTGGGCAGTTTAATTGATTATCTAAGAGCAGCAATTACATCAATTAATGTCTCATAAACTAACTGAATGATCAAAACTAGGATTGAATTGATTAATCAAAATTAGGTTTCTGATTATTCCATCAGTTGACTAATTGAAATTATGATAAATCAACTGTCACAAAAATTATAACTAATTAAAATAAGGGTTTCTGATTAGTAATATTTTCATTTATTCCAACTATCCAAATAATTGATACATTGCTACTATGTTTATTATAAAGCACATAGCTACTTAATAGGCTATCTGTGCTCTGCCCAAATTTTTTTTTAACTTTCTTCACTTTGACAGTTTGGGGGAGGGAGCTCTTAATTCAAGGGTTTCAGGCTCAATTCTCATTGCCACCAAACTTGCTTTTCCTGTCTTTGTTATGGCTAAGCTACTAAGGCTATCTGCCACTGTTAATAATTTTGAACTGTTGGTAAGAGAGAAGGCAATTGATTGAAAGCACCCACCACTAACTAACCTTTTTGTTTTTCCCTCCTCCTTGAACTGCTAACTAGAGGGAAAGCAACTGATTGCAGCAGCCACCTACATTCTTCCCTCCCCTGAACTGCTAACATAGGAGAAAGGCAAGTGGCTGTCAGCACCTTCTGCCAACATTTTTTTTTAAACTTTGGCCTAGAGAGAGGTCAATTGCCTGACAGTACTTGCTGCAAGCTTTTTTATTTCATTTGTTTCTCTTATATGTACCATAGTTTGAGGAACACTGTACTAATTGATTACCCACATTTATGTAATGATTAATGGGGCCATCAATTGGGTAATAAATACTACTAACCACCCAGCTCTAATTACACAATCGTAACATGGTTATTCAGTATATGATATGCTGTGTAATAATTTTTATTAATTGTAATTTATTCTGTAATCATTTTGAATACACCTTTTGATTGATGAATAGATGATTTATTATGTAATCATGTGATTCTTGAACTTGCATTCTAAACATTAACATCAATGGGAATGATGCAGTTGTTCATAGGTGGTTTTTGAAATCCTAGTGCTATGGAATCTTTGTTTAAAAACGTTATTTGTTTAACCCTACATTAGTAAGTTTATAATTTTCTTAGATTGAAACCAAGTGCTTTAAGCATAATTTGCATAGCATGTTGTGGATAGGATGTGTGTATCAGGTATTTTTTGTTTTTTAATTCACATGTTTATGATACTAGTTTTATATCTGTATGAAGGCAGTTGAGTTTTTATATACCACCAGTATGAAATATTGGTTAAGAACAAGAGTTGAAAACATTCTGGAAACAGAAATATCTTCCCAATCAATCTGAGTAAAATAGCTGCAAATCCTACAACCACCCACTTTCAGTTTCTCTATAGTAAAAAGACCATTACACTTTGATCTAATTGAGATGAAGTGCATGGAAAACAAGCTGCAAATTTGTAAAACGTCTTTGCTAAAGAAGATTTAATGAAGTAAGAAAAATTGCATTTATTAGGAAGAATATGGTTTAAGAACAGATTTTAAATACTAACAACTATGAGTGTCTTGAAAAATATTACCCTAATTGCACGTCAAAGCAAACAAAGACAATTAATAAAGATAATAGGAGACGAGTGTTTAATTCATCTTAGTAACTTTTTCCTTTTCAATTTATATTAGGGCAGATATGATACGATAGTAGTCATTACAATACATATCTATAATATTGATGCTGCGATAAGATATGTATCTAGATACAGAAGTTTTACCAACAGTTTGTTACAGAGTTTGACAGTCTTGACAAAATTTAATTAGAAACAGATGAATAATGTTAAGAGCTTTAAGTTTATAATGTAAGAACATGTAGTTTCCTGCTACAACTTAAGTAATTCTAGAAGAAAAAAAAGAATAATTTTATATTTATTTTGCATTTTTATGGTTACGAGGTTGGTCAAACTGACCGATTTCACATAAAATTAGGGTAGTGAATATAGCAGATAAAATATGAAGATTTATCGGGAAAACAGGTTGATAATTTATTTCGGAGGTTTTTAGAGATTACACAAAAGAATTTTGTTCATTTTTAGATGGAGAAAAGTATTTTAATCTTAACATGAAAATTGCTTTACACTCAGAGCAGTGACTACTTTGATTCCATATATATTAAAACATACTTTATTAGAAATTCTGATTTTTCTGTATGAAAGACTTATAAAATTTACTGAAAGCTTGCCAAATTTTACGCAGATACGTATATGATTGTATCATGGCTTCATGATATGATACTTGTATTGCCACACCCCTAATTTGTATGTACTGACTCATTTTTTGAATTATTTTTGTTTACCATTTCGGGATCATGCTTTTTCTTGGATTCTTGGGAGTTTCCCCAGCTTTTTTTTTCTTCACACAAAACTTCAATTTTAACTTTCAAAAACTTTCTTTTCTTTACAGAATTTAAGCATAGAAAACTACTTTTGAGATGTTAGTCTAAAATATTCTACTTGGAATTCATATTAGATGTTTGATTGTATTATTAGTTGCATGCTATGATAACATTCAATTTAATTTGCAATAGCTACTTTAAACATATTAAAAGTAATTGTACATGCCTGTAGTTTGTGTTACATAGATAGTGTTTTATTTATTTGACATATGTGATGCTATAACATTTATTATTATGCATTTTGATTTTATAAATCATGAAATAGTAATTTAATTTTTTTTACTTTGAGAAATCTATTTAACGGGTTATTGGTTCATGTATAACCATTCTTGGTATGATTGTTTTTAGTTTTGATTAGTAACTTTGTAAGTATTCAAAGATTTTGGTCTGTTTGTATCAAATTAATTTTAATGTTGATTTACTCTGTGTACTTGTGTGATTTGTGAATAAAATATGTTTCTGAAACATTTGGTTTTTCCCTTCATAATGGAAACAGATTTTTTTTAAAGTATATTTTGTATAAGATTTAGTGGTTTAATTGTCATATATTTTTTAGAACTAAGGCTCATCAACTTTACACAAAAAACTACTGTAACATCATTCATTGATCCTTGTAATCATAGTTTCTTTTAAAGTATTGTGTTTGGGTAAATATACTTGTGTGTGTAAAATGTTGTATTTTGTAGTTTAACTCTCACCTTTGTAAAACCTTGGTTGTGAAGAGTGTAGTTACTGGACAGTCCTAAAGATGATGATTGTTGTAGTTCTGAAGATGGATGTTAGTTGTTATGCAATTCAAAAGGTGAAGACTGTCATTTCTCAACATTGCTGATGATGGATGTCCAGAACCTGAAGACTTAAGTATCTTAACAGTCTTAAAAATGAAGAGTAGTATTTCATTATTACAAATAATGATCAGTATTAGTTAAGACATATTGATGATGGAGAGAATAGTGGTTTGGTAGGCCTGAAGATGAAAGTCATGATAGTGTGGCAGGCTTGATGTTAAAAACTGTATCAGTTAAAAGTATTTGGAGTGTCCTGAAAGTTACAACTCTAGCAGTTAGCTGTCCTAACTATAAAAACTTGTAGTATAATAATCTGACAAGTGAAGAGGGTAGTAGTTTAGCAGTTGGAAAATAAAAACTGTAGTAATTTAGTAGCCATATAAGTGAAGAATGTAGTAATCTAGTTGTTTTGAAAAATATTTGTATTTTAGCATTCAGAAAGGTAAAGAATGTAATAGGTTTTAGAAATCCTTATTCTTAAATTTCTGTAAATCAGTATTCCTGAAGTAGTAGTTCATAAAGTGAAACGAACAATAGGTCAAGTTTCAAACAATGATAATTTGGCATCTCTTGAGATTAAATAATTACTTATTCTATCGTCCAAGAAATTACACTTGCAGAAGCTTGCTCTTTGAGAAAAAAAAAATTTAAGTAGCATAACAGATATTAATAATGAACAAAAGTGTAATTGATCAAAATAGATTATAACACAAAGCAAAGTTAAACTAAGCAATTTATTAGATTTGTCCTATATTACTTTGTTGAGCAGTTTTGAATCTTTCTTTTCCAATTAAAGAATTTTTTATTTGAAGCCCACTTGATTCTGTCTCCTCACGTGTTTCTGGCCTTTTATCTGTGTAAAGTACAAAACTGGCTGCTAGTGTAACTTAATATTATATAAGTAGTCTAGAAAATTAAGAATTTGTTGACTAATATGTATTTAAATACCACAATCCTCTTCAAAAAAATTTTCTGATACTTAACTAATAAAAATGTAAAATCTGAAATCACTTCCTTTCATCTTATCATGCAATCTTTTTGTGTTATAAACATACATTTTTATAGTGATTTTTTTTTCATTTGTTCTTAAACTAAATAGAAATGTAATAATGGAGAAAATGTTTGAAATTCAACATTTTGTGAATGTTACCTCTGTGGGTGACTGCAACAAAGAAACTATTGGTGGTGTTCTATTTAATCCATTGTATTTTTCATGTAATGTTTTTTTTTCAATATAACATTTTCATTTGTAGTCTATGGCACAGTAGAAGCATTAACTATAAATGTATTAAACAATTCTTAATATGTTTAGCAAAACGAAACATGCTTTGCAATAAATATTAGTTTTCACTTTTTAGTGAGCATGTGCAAAACCTATATAGACTGTAGACCTTCAAAACTTGGTAAGATAGACAATGTATGAGAGAAATCTTGTTTTTTTTTCTTTCCATGTTCATAAAGAGGCTGATGAATTGTTTTGTTTTTATTTGGTATTAAATCTCAGTTTTTACATTTTACTTTTTATTATCATTTAGAGTGTATTTAGGCTACTCTGAAAGTTGTGTACTTTCAGCATTGCAAAACCATGAACATAATGCAATTTTTTGCTAAGTTTTTAACTGTTATATAATTTTAAGCAATACAAAACTTTTAACATAACCTAATGGTTTAGTTAAGCTGTCATGAAATTTATGAATCTGTCAACACTACATAATCCTGGATAGGGTGGTTTGATGAAGTTGCTGACTAACATTTAACTTTCAATAGTGCAAAATCCTGAGCTTTACTGAACAATGTAGCCTTGAGAGTTATTTTAATTATCCATAGTGCAAAGTTTTGAATGTGGTATATTGGATGAATGATAAGAATTATAAAGGTCACGGTCTGAAATTTGCAAAATATGTAGCTGTTCTTTCATATAACTCCTACCTGGACCACTCCATGAACATGTATATATTTATATATATATATTAATTCCATTTTATCGATTGTAGATGTGTATGTAAATATATGTAACATTAAATAAAATTTTAATTGATAACAACAGTTTTTTATTATATCACTTTTGGAATTTACAAATGTACATAATCTTCATATTAATCCAGATAAACACAAAAGTAATATGACATGACATTTTTATTTTAATACTGACCAAAAGGTAAGGTATTTCTCACTTGAGAGGTTACTATGTGTCACATTGTTTGAATCATTTCTGCCATTCATATGTTCCAGGAAGCTCCTTTTCATTTTTCAATTTGTCATTTATAGGCTTTTCGGTAACCTTCTCTTATATTTTCAGTTTTCAAAATCATCACTTGAACAGTATTATATATCTTGTTATTTGTCGTGAAAAATCTCTAACCAAGGATTTATCGATAATTCTCTAGGTAGTTGCCCAGAAGTGTCAGCAGTTCATGCAAGCTACCAAAGGACTAACATAGTGAGGAGTTACAGTAAAAAATACTTGTTTAATGATGAAGGAAGACCATTATGTCCAGTCTGTTTCCAGTCATTTTTTGATACGAGTAACTTACGACGACACCTAGACATGCATAACCCACAGCGTCCATTTTATTCTTGTAACCTCTGTCAAAGGAAGTTTGCTTGGAAAAACTATCTGAAATTACACAAGAAACGAGTGCATGGAATGAAGTTTGATATAAGCTACTGAGGAACCTACCTTATTAATGATGAGAGCCCATTTTAGGTGAATGTTTGTATTTAACTTTTATTTCAAAGGTGTAAGAAAAATAGCAACAAATATTTCATCATAAATTAGAATTTTTCTCTGTTTTTGTACAACCATCGAGTTCGTGAAATTTTGTAATTGTAAATAATTAAGAACTGGTGTGTCACAAGCTTCTACATTTCTTATTATCATTACTATAATTAGTTGTTGAGATGTAGATTATTAAATTCTTAAAGATACATGATTAACTTTCAGTTTAGAAAGTTATTAATCAAACATGTAAAAACCTACTTTATTTTGAAATAATTTTACTGTAGCATTTGGTAATTTCTTTCTTGTACATGGTTACATTGCTTTTGTTGTTTATGTGATTTTAGCAAACAGTTTTAAAGTTTTATTGACCCACAGAACTTAAGAATTGCAGAATCTATAGGGATATTTGGAAGTAACCATGTACTTGCTAATACAAATCTAGAAATATAAGCAGTTTTTATGACTTCAGGTTTCTGAATGTTTTGTATGGTTATCTCTTTTATATTAATGTTATTTTCTTGGTTTTAAAGTTTGAAAATTTTATGGATATGTTAAAGATTTTAGTTTATTTATTTCAACTTAAACTTTTAATTTGTTTTGCTAAACATTTTAATTGATAGACAAAGTAGACGTTCTGTTTTATTAGACAAAGGACTGTAAATAAAGACATATATTCATGCATATGAGGCTTTTTATAAGATTCTTTATGTTATTGTATGGTTAAACATTTGTACACAAAACCAAAATATGTCTAAGTTAAACATACTGTAGCTTATGAAAGTTTGATTTATGAATTTATCAAAAATCAATAGTGTATTGATGTTTATCAAGATTTTAAAATTATTAAAGAATTCATGACAATATTTTCTATGCTATAGTGAGCTTATAACTATTTTGTAAACATTTTCTTGTTTATTTTTAAAAAATCTCATTTCCAATCCTCATGACATTATACCACCTTACCCTTAATTACAGAATTGTTACTGGTGTTATCAAAACATTAATCAGATTACTGAAAAATACAAACAATTCAAGTAAGCTGACTGTTTCCAATTTGATTTTAACATTGTTATTTCTTTTTCATCTTTTTGAAATGTTTTTTGTTTTTCGTTATAATAACTTTTAAGAATATCAATAAATGTATGCCATGTTCTTTTACCAATTTTTGGCTCAGAAATATTGATATATAATAACAATACAGTCTATCTTTAAGTCTTTGTTATAGAAGATTTTAGGAAAATTTTTGCCCAAAACTTTTCTTGGGCAAAGAATTAAAAGACAAGACTTTTTTTTTCTACCTTGTCATGGTTGAGACTACTATTGTATTTTTTGAATGTCTGATGATGGGACTTTGAAGACCCTGAAGTATCAAGTCTGTATTTTCTGTTGGGGAATATAAGTGCTTTTCTGCAATGTTCTAACTAACATTTATAGTTTTAAATATCTGTGGATGGTTTGTACAACATGTTATGATTAATATGTTTATTTGGTTTTGACAAATGTAACGTATATAAGCATGAACTTATATCAGTGTAAGAGCTTAAGTTAAAAGTAACACTGACTTAACACTGAACAGTCAGAGCACAGAAAAAAAGACAAGGATTTTTATAGGTTTAGTTCAGAATTTCAATATTTTTTATTGATATATACATGTATGAGACAATCTTTTAAGACAGCTATTGCTTTGTAGGTGACATTTGCAGTTTCAGCATAGTTACCCCCCTTCTTTGGTAACTTGAGATATGTTTAGTATAATCACTTTCTTTCAAGTTGATTCATGGGGTTGTTTTATTTTAGTATGGTCATTAGGGGTAGTGGTTTTGCTAATCAACAGTGCCAATAATTAATTATTACAGTTTTCTTCAAACCATGATATGTACACAAAAAAATAGGTGATAACAACCAGTTTCCTTCACTCTAGTCAGAAGCTCAATAACAACAGCAGATATCCTTGCCATAACAAAAACAGGGCAAAAAAGTTTCTTGGCATTATTACCTAGACGGAATAATAAAAAACAGTATTCAGTGAAAACCTTAATTTCAATCAGTTGATTATTTTTGTAACAATTGATTTAATCATAACTTTGAATAATCAGAAATGCCAATCTCAATTAGTTGATTATTTTGCTACAATTGCTATAATCAGAATTTGGATTAATCTGTTATTAGAATGACAGAAAACAATAATCATCAGAAATACTGAATTAGTAGGAATTTTGATTAATCTATTAGTTTGTGCAACAGTAATTGAATTAATTACCATTCATAGCTAATCGATTAAACCACCTAGCTCTAAAGTACTCTAGTATAGCCATTGAGCTGCAGATTTACTAAAAGTTAAGTTGTTTGATTACTTCCACTCTGTTGCATGATGACCTATATCATAGGTTGAATAAAGCCACTCTACAAGATGATTTAACTCTGAATGGTTATAACCATTGTTCCTCTTTGATGATATTATAGCACTACAAGTACAGGCATTCCTTTAAATCTCTAAGCTTTATTTTTGTTGAAAACTTATTACGCTATTGATGAGTATTTATCAAGACAGCAGAACAGTCTTTATGAAATATCTTCATTTGTCAAACAACAGTACAAACTACAAGTTTGTTCTAAACACCACTCTTTTACTGGTCATGTTAGTTGATAAATATCAAAATGCATTAACACCTTGTACGTCATTTAATTTAAACTTGTGATTCACTAAATAATGTACCAGCATATAAGACACTTACGTACTTAAAAATTACTTTATAATTTACAACCTTCAGGTATTATTCTTTACTGTGATAGAAAAATGATTGTTCACACAAGGTAGATTTGGGTATGAAACTCATTAGAGAGCCTGTAACATTATTCTAATCAAGTTGAATGATGAACTTTAAAATAGGTTATGTCATCTAGTCAAACATTTCTCTAATGGTTTTGATTCAGAAGGTTAATAAGTTTACTTAATTTGAAATTTATTAAAGTAAAACTAAAATGTCTTGAATCATGCTTGGAATATGAATTTGTTTAAGCTGGAGAAGGTGATATAGAGATAAAACATAATATATTACTGCTAGTCTGGACTCATCTTTAATTATTTGAGTGACTACAATGCAACCAAATTGGACAGTTTTGATTAATTTTGGTTTGAATTAGTTAGAAATGTATTGTCTTTTTTATGTAGAAAAGTTTCTGATAATTTATAATATCTCAGTGTAGTTTTTATGAAACTCAGCATATATATATATATTTTAATTTGAATAATACTATTATTTTGTTAAACAAAACTTTATTAATTTATTAACAAATTTATTTGTTACTTATGATATTTCTTGATGTCTGCCAATCCAAATATTGCTCTTAAATAAATTTAAAGCTAAAATCATATATTAGAAACCATCTGATGATAGCCAGTGTTAAAGTGCCCTCTTGTTTATCATTGCAGTACTTCACTTGTCACTTTCCTTTTTTTACTTCTTGTCATACTGTATAGTGTTTAAAAACAAAGATAGAAAATTTAAATTTTGTAGTCATTATTGAACTTGCTCATTGTTTTATTATATATCTTTTTCTTTTTTACAATAATAAAAAAATGAAGTTGATAGCAGTTTTTAAGAGTTATGTTTCGCAGCTTAGATATATGTTGATTCATTTTGTTTTACCAGAACATTACCAACATTATATTTATTTTCATATGCAAATTGTGGTGACGAAAACTAAAGTTTTATTTCTGCATTTATTTATATATATATATATATTTGGTGATATAGATATTAAATATTTAAGTCATTCTACCATGGCAGGGAGTTTTATTATCATAACTGTTACAATTTGAATGTTGGTATTAACTTCTTATGTTCTTAAATTATCACAACAAGTTTGTATCACTAGATGCTAAAATGTTGAGTCATTCTGATATGGTACTGAGATTTTCCCATATTAAGCTTGATATTTAATAAATCTGTTATTAATACAGCAATAATTTTATCATAATATAATGTTCATTTAAATCTAAAGATAATTAGTAAATTTTTCAATTATATGAATCTTTGGAATTTAATTTTTAATAGGAAAAAGTGTAGTAACATGAACCTTAACTTGTGTATTTATTGAAAAATATGTGTGATGTCATGCATATGCAAGTATTTACTAATTTTAGGATATAAAAGTATAATATTTTTTCTATGATATCTGTACTCTGAAAAATAAAATGCTTTTCAGTGTTGCTAACAAAAGAATGGAGAAATAAAGATTGCATTCACTGAAATTGTAAAAATTTTAATTATATGTGAATTTTATAGGATACGACTTGTTTCTGATCCTGTTTGCATGATTTAACAATTTCTTTTTACTGTTTCATCTTCCTGTCACTAAGTTCTGTCATAATGCTTTTTCAGTTCTGTACATTACATATCTTGTTGGTTGAGATGGTAGTAATCTAGTTTACAAAATATTTATGAAATATCTTTTTCAATTTTAGGTGAATATCAAGAAATATCAGAAGTGAGCTACCAGTATAAACGAGCAGGCAGGAGATCCTCAGAAAAATATTTATTTAATGACCAAGGAAGACCATTATGTCCAATCTGCTCACAAACATTTTTTGACACTAGTAACTTACGACGTCATATGTTCTTGCATGATGCACAACATCCAAAATATTCTTGTGACTTCTGCCATAAAAAGTTTACAACCATAAACTATCTCAAAATGCATACTAAAAGAGTTCACAGTGTTAAGTACCAATCTTAAAAACTTGTTTTTTGGAGTTGATTATGAAATGTGACATTGGTGAAATTTTGGTACAAAAAACCTTTTTAGCTTCCAAATCTTGAGTTTTTTTAGGTGAATATTGAATGAGTAATGATTGAAATCTTTTTTTTTGTGAATATTATTAATGTTTTAATGAAAAATACTAAGGTATAAAAATAATATTTATTTTACAAGGAAAGTCCTAGTATTTACATGTAATAGTGCTTTACAAACAATCTAGCTACAGAATTTGTAAGTGTAGTTGGTGCTTATGAGGTTGCAAAAGATTGAAAAGTCCCTTTTTATGTGTATGTAAAGATGTAGCCAATCCATTCTCTGTGGAGGCATGTTAGCTGTGATAAGAATTATCTTATTAATTGTTAAACATCTTTTTTGGTAAACTTTCATAACATCTAGTGGTAACATTAGTTATGTTTAACAACAAAACAAAGCTAGCCAAGTTGTAAACTTTATAAATTTGTTTTTGTTTGGAAAAAATATTTTAAAAATTTCAAAATTATTTCAAGGTGTATGTATTTTTTGTCATAGCACTAAGCTTAAAATAATGTTTAACAGTTATGTAAAAAAATGTTTATTTTAGATGTGGTAGAAATAAAGTAAAAATACCACTGTGTAGTGAGATGTCTTTATTTCCATTAAGTTCTTTTTTTTTTTCAGTTCTTTATGGGGTAGTTTATGCTTTTCCCAATAAATGGCTTAGCATTTTTTTGCAACAGTTGCTTTATAGCTTTTTGTAAGAACTCATCATCATAAATTGGAGTCTTGCAAGTTTAAGTGTATGTGAATAATGGATTTTTATGTATTGGCATATATAAATTTCATCATGTAATTGTACTGTGAAGTTACAAAACAACAAAGCTTGATCTATGGTATGATATTCATAACTAGAAACAAAGAAGTTGTTTTGTAAAGAAATGAAGTACAAGCTTAACACTGATAAAATTATTTGTTTGTAAAATGTTGGTATTTTTCAATTCATAGTTAATAAAAGCTACAACAGCAAAAATAAATAGAGGAAGGTGTATATATTTAACAAATTCCATAACAAGAAGGCCCTTAAAGAACTTTTATAACTAAATTGGAATTTTAATAGAGGTAAATAATAAAAGATCATATTATCTATAAAAGTTGTTTCAAAACAAGTACAATGTTTAGCTTGGAAGCACATATTAAGATGCAAAGAGTATGTTAACCAGATAATTGAATAAATGAACTACTGCAGACACCTAAAGAGCACATAGCATATACAGAATAAATATTCCTGATGTTGATATTAATTGGAAGTTTCAATGCAACAAATGTAAAAATATAAATTATAGAACTATTGATATTGCTTTTTTTGGTATATATTTCAATTAATAGCAAACCATATCTTTGGCTCTTTTTTATTTTACATGTAAAAGTCTTGTACATTTTAGGAAGGAATGCTAAACTCTTTGTTTTTAAATTTTGATACTAACAGACTTATTATTTTTTCCAAAGGATGCCTGAATAATTATGAAATTTTCTAGTGATAAAAAAGCACAGCTTACAAAGTAAGTTGATATTGAGAACAATTAGACATGAGAAAATACATTACTAAGTATTGTTTCATCATAACCTAGGGTTTGTTTTATTCTTTAAAATATATTTTGAGTTATTTCACACACAGTAGGATTTTAGTAACCATTTAGGATAGCTTTTTGTAAAAAACAGAAAAGAATCCTTGAATTTCTTCTAGTGAAAATCGTACTTTGGTACAGAAAATAGCATGTAATAGATTTTCACTGTATTTGCTATGAATAGTCAAATTGTGTATTAAATAAAGAAAAATATATATATGAATATATATATATATATCCTTTAATTATAGAGTGATATCAGTGACTTTATGTAGCTATTTATACACTTTGGTTTAATTGGGGTTATTTTGAACCTTAGCTCTGCCATTGAGAATACAAATGTTTATGCATTGTTCTGATAATCTCTTATGTTTCAGGCTGTACCTGGCTGCCAGCTCACTGGAGGCGTGGATGGAAAGTCTCCTCAAAACAAAAACTTGAACAAGATCCAGATACAGGAAGACCAAGGTGTCCCACTTGCAAGAAAGTGTTCTTTGATAAAAGCACTTGTAATCGACATATGGAAATACATAGGTTGAGGAGAAAACAGTATGAATGTAATGTGTGCTTCAGGCGATTTTCTTGGAAAACTACGTTGAGTACACATATGAGGTTATATCATAGGTTCTGATGGCAAAGAACCATAAGTCTGAAAAGAAAAACAGTAAGATAGACCATACATTATATGAATAATAAAAAATCCAAAGGTAGGATTATTATAAGGTTGCTGTGCTAGTGTTTCATGCAGTTGGTGTGCCTTGAGTTAAAAGAGAGATACTTGTTGACAATCAGTAATCATAAAATAAAGATATGTTGAATTTTAATTAGTATATGTGTTGTTTGTAAGTGTTGAATATCATGTTCTGGCCTGGTATCCATCTGTCCAGTTATCTACTGTAGTTCTTTGAACATTTGTGAACAAATTATTTTGTATCTATGCTAGTCATTTCAAGTGTAACATTAAATAATACATTAAAGAAGAAGGAATTATTTTGCATTAATCCACATATTTTAATTCACTCACGCTTGTGACCAATGTTTTACTCTGTTTCAAAATGTTTCATAAGTCACTCAATACACATAAATAAAATTAACAGATTATACGTATAGCATTTTGTATGTAAGACGTTACCTTGTATCCATTCAAATTATTCATGGTAGTCACAGCACACTGAACCTGGTGTTATCTGGTATCCATCTATGATTATAGTGTTCTTTTAAGTACAGATATTTTTTTATGCATGTTTAGTCCTAGGGTGACATGAACCATTTGCTGCTGTGAGAGTGAGATTACAGAACTCGTTTCAGAGTTTGTTTTTTAGTTCATTATACTAATCAGTTATTTGAAGGTTCCAAAATGCACTTTCACACAAAAAATGATCAGTTTATTTATAAAGTATGAGAATATTGAATCCAGAGGTTAATGTAACTATAAGTTTGGATATATGACCTAAGTAATGATATTATGCAGTGGCATAAAGTTACAGGAATAGGATTATAGTAATAATAAAATATTAATAAAAGATATCCTTTAGTATTCTTCAGAGTGAAAGGTACTTTGTATAAGTGGACAGTTAGTGCATAGACATGAGAACATTCAAGGTACTGATGTATCATGTAATATAAGTTTACATGTGATGTTGAAAATAATTAAAGCAGTATTATAGCATATCTTAAATTTAATATTTTTGGGTACAAATTTAGATTATTTTGATTGTATTCCAACTGTTTTCTGTTTGTTTGCTTTTTTTTTCAGAATTGTTTTTGTCTACTGCAAGACGCTGGAGAATGTCTTCTCAAGGTCATCAGTCTTCTTTTTCCATTCACCACCGCTGTCACATTTGTAACAAGTCATTTCGTGGGAAACACCTCCTAAGACAGCATATGCATAGCCACAGAGACACATTACACCAATGCCCATACTGCTTCGTGAAATACAAGTGGAAAAAAACTTTAAGTGTCCACCTTCGACGTGACTGTCCTAAACGAAGACATGTGGAATCTGCAAATTAATTGATAGGTTATGCATGATCAAGTTAGTTTGGCATTGTTTCAGGCTGGATGTTATTTATTTTTCCCCAAATCTTCTTCTGTATAATTCTTTGAAGAATAGAATACCTCTTCTTTTTAAGCTTTTAGAAAGAGTTCTATCGTATGATTTAAGTTTATTGAGTAAATTCATATTATTCTGAAAATGTTAGTATCAGAAGTTTTTTTTTCTATTGTCGGTCTCTCTTTTGTAAGAGGAAAAAAATACTTACTTGCAAACATTTGTGAAAGTTGGAAAAAGAAGGGTTTGATTTGTCAGTCTTAAAGAAAAAATTTGATTATATCAAAATACAAGAAATATGTACACAGCATGTTTGATAATATTTCATATTATCAAAATATTTTATAAAGTTTATTATCTGATTGATAACATATTTCGTATTTCTGAAGTTTACTTATAAAATATCTTGTCACAGAAAATCTTTTTAGGTTAACCTAAGACTATGCATTAAATGCAGATTATTATTAATTTTCATGGGGTTAGTATGTAAGTAGCAAAGTTAATTAATTTCATGCTCAACAAAGTGTATCTGCTAAATTTAGAATGAGTTTTTGTTAGTTTTGAAGTGGAAGCCTGTGTGCTTTGGAAAGATATTATCATTTGTGTTATTCAGATGTTTTTTAAACAACTCTAATTACCTGTTATTTAATTTTTCGTAAGTTGTGGTAAGATGAATAGAATCAGAATATATGCTATGACTATTTAAATTTTCTTTTTATTTGGAAAGAGAGTCATCACAAGTGGATTTAATTTAATGCTAGCTTTTTTGCTTGACTTTTTTGTACTAACAAATCTATTAGAAGATTTAGATAATGATTATTATTTCAGTTATATTTTAGTTATTTTAAAATAGGTTTAAACTCTAATACTTAATATAATCTGCTTTTGAGGTGGTATTAAACTCTAGTACCTATTTTAATGTTACATCTGTGGCTGTGTCAAAGTCAACTACATACTGTAATGCCACACCTTTGACTATATCAAAGACAGATACTTGTAGTAATTCTACTTTTGAGCCTGTGTAAATTCCTATACTTATTCTAATGCTACATCTGAAACTGTATCAAAGTCCACTACAGTATTAAATGCCACATCTTAGACTATATCAATAACTATTACTTGTAGTAATGTTGCTTTTAAGACTGTATTAATTTCTCATACTTATTCTAATGCTATATCTGAATGTGTTCAAAAGTTGAGTACTTATTGAGATGCTACTTCTTAGTCTTTATCTTTGGTTATTAATCTTAAAAATAAGCTAGTGCTGGATGAAATACACCTATGTAAAGTATTTTTATGTACTTTTTGCAACTCTCTCTCTATTAGTTTGTGTCTTAGGAAATACAAACTATATTTTGAAATATCCTTTCAGTTTTAACAGTAGTAATTTGGACTAAATCTTTCCATGATTTTCCCAGCATTTAAAGGATAGAAATTGGTAAATGTATTGAAGTGTGGAAAATCTTAGTTTTCAAAAATGCTTTTAAAAAGTATATCAGTCACGATATAAAGATCTGATAACTGATCCAATTTCACGTAATGTATCTTCCTCCTCCAGAGGTTGAAGAGGGAAGGCTACCTTCTCAAAGCATTTGGATTATCAGATTTTTTGTATTCTGAATTTTTTTCAAAAAGATGGATTTGTGTTATTAAAATTCTTTCATTTGAATGATTAAGTTAAAAGATAACTCTAATATACATTGTTGAATACTGCTTCTTTGTTTGTTGATAATTAATCAATACTGGCAAAAAGCACCATGCAAAAATTTCTGTCGCTAAGGTCACCAATATTAGGATTCTATATGGTGACATTCTGTGCATGAACAGAGAACTTACCAACACATTCATGAATAGTAGAAGGAATATGTGCTATTTATTGTTTCAGTTTATAGCAGAATAAGGTTTTTTGAACAAACCAAATTTGAAATTAAAATGAGATGAAAGAAACAGTACTTCATATACTTTGCTGAGGAACATGTGAAAAATAAATTAATAGTGGTTATACTTGTGATCGTGCAGTTAATGTAACGAAAAATAATTTTTGGGAGGTTATTGCATACACAGGAAACTGAATTTGGCTTGTATGTTTGTTGTATTAACAGATTTAAAAAGTGTTTGATAATTTGGTAAATGCATTAGGTACTTTATGTGGATGTCAAATGGACAAAAGTGAATCACTGCAAATAGTTAAGAATTGTTTTTGGCACTTATTATTTAAAGCTCGGTTCTTCAAATCTATTAAATTTCCATACTTAACGTAATGCTATATAATATTTCAGAGTCTATCAAATGGTGATGTTTATTATGTTGTTACTTGTGAAACTGTATTACACTCCTATACTTACTGTAATGTTATTTCTAAGATTATTAAACATTTAAAAGTATTGATTCTGTTATTTTTGCTTTTTTTAATGTTTTGAAAATATAGATTTGCTTATTGCACCTTAATTAGGTTAGACCAGTATAGAGTATATATACTAGCTAATTCATTAAGGTCTTTCCATTTATTGCAGGTTTCATAAAATTTTCTTTGGCTTCTAGTATCTATTGAGGGTAAGAGTTTTATGTTAAAATCAAAACTTAAACAGTAGAACATTGCTCTCTGAACACTAGTAAAATCTGGGGCATCTTAAGTTCAACCTCCAGTAAGAGTATGTTATTTTTCAACTAATTTGAGTCATTTAAATTGGTGATATAAGAATTCTGTAATGGTTTGAAATATATGAAAAATATAAAAGGTTCTGGGAACATGAAAATTTTTGAGTTGTATGAACTTATATTTGACAGGTAAAGTGTGTTTATGTAATTATCTTTTGTTGTATGGTGGTTTAAAAAGTAGTTGGGGTGAGAACTTTCTGTAAAAATAAGTAGGAAGAAAATGTTACTTTCCAGTGTGAGAGCTGTTTGCAAGTATTCTAGGAGCTCAGTTTGTAGAGCATCTCTCTCAAAATATTGAAGGGAGTTTGGGTTCAAACTCCAGTCACCAGAGATTTGTAACACCTTGAAATGTTGTACAAGGCATAGCCATTAGTAAAATCATATTATGTTTCACATAAACATACTCTTTAAAACTGGGTGTAATGGTGCTCCTTTTTAAGAGGATATTACCAACATATTACACTTATAGTGTCTCAGACAAAAGCAATATATGCAATGTTATTGTGTCATTTAGTTTATATGTTCAATTAAACTAAATAATAGAAGGAAATTTATTTCACCTATCTCCATCACTAAGAAGAAAGAAGCACAGAATGAACATCTTTGTAGTGATAACTTGTGGACAGACAGTTTGAAGACACTTTTTGTTTTTATGATTATATTTTGAAGGAAGGATGTTACAGAAAATAGGCTAAGTTTCATATTGATTATTGTAAATGAGAAAGGTAATGGTATTTTCTTTCTAGGATGTGAATAATGTAATGAGCCAGTAGGAAGTGAATCTTGTGTGTTTTTGAATATTTGAAAGAATACTGAATAAACCCAGTTTCATATTTCTTACTGGAATATCTAGGATTGTTTTTTTTTCTTTTGTTTTTGCTTTGCATTTGTTTCTTAAAGAATTTAAGGAGGTATGCTTAAGTTAATAATGTACCATAAAAATTTCATTTTTATCTTACTCTTTTTTCAATATTGAAGTCTGGGTGCTAAATAACAGTTTTTAAGAATCTCTAAAATTTTTATATCATTTCAAATCTGAGAGAAAAAGATAATGAAATAAACATTATACAGGTGTGAACTTAATACTTTGAAATTGCTTTAATAACATTTCTTAATTGATTTTTCAAAATTCCAATATACATTTATCAAAGTAATTTGTCTTAGCATTATACGTGGTGTTATTTATTTGTACTTGATAGTAATTATGTTAGAAAATAAAAACATTTTGTGTAATCTAATTTACTTTGACAAAATATGATGTTTTTCGTAACCATTAAAAAATATATCAGATTGTTACTGAATTAGGAAAATCTAATAGATGGCCATTTCTTACAGCAATCAAGAATTCGAAATGCACAAAGTAAGGATGTACAGTACATGTTGTGAATATACTAAGACATTAAAAGAAGATACTGTTGTGTTCTAATGTTTTAATCTGCATGTCCTGTGGCAAGGTCAGCAATATTGATTATTGTTTAGGCAATAAAGAATTTGGGGCTGCATGCTTTTCTCATCTTTTGAGACCACCATTCCGAAATTGATGTTTTACCTATAAACTTTAATTAGATTTAATTTATAATACTCATTACAGTGGGTTAAATGGGTAATTTTTATTGGGGTTTGCATGATATTACATTATATTTTTTGTGGTCTTTTTATATCAGGTGAAGAAATAATGAGACCAGTAACAGAACACTCATGTCCAATTTGTGGGAAATTGCTTACAACAAAGTATATACTTCAGCGACATATGGCTGTACATGCCACATCCCGTGACCGGTACCACTGCACCATCTGCTACAGAGCATTTTCATGGCGTCACAACTTGTATCGACACCTTAGAATGGCACATGAGAAGTGTAGTTTAGAGGCTTCTGACATGTTGGATCCATGATGCATGCAGTGTGCATTACAAAGTAGATATGGGTTTTATAACATGTTTTGTTTTTATGTGCCTAAATGAATATTGCTTTGAAAACACTTGCTCATTTCATTGTGGTAAAAACACTATTTATTTTGTGTAGAGGATTTAATATTCATTCATACTATAAAATATATTTATACTATATAGAAACCTGAATATTGGAATAATTACATGATAAAGATATAAGGTTATGATTGATAAGACACGAGAAGTGGACTTACGCCATACTATGTGTCTTTCCGTCGTTCCTGCCCCAGGTTTCAAGAATGACACTCGAGGCTGTAAATAGTTTTATTTTAGACCATTTTGTCATCTTAAATACCAAATAAAAATCTGTTGCTATGGTTTTATATCAGTTTGAGGTGCAACTATTTTAAAATCATTTTTTTGAAGTGCAACATAATAAGCAGCTTACTTTTCATGCACTTAAAATGGACTTAAGGTGTTTTATATATGTGAGAATAAAAAGTTCCTAGAAAGAACTGATTTATACTGAGTCAGTTCATTTTTCATTATTTCACTGTAAGGTGAAGCTTTATTAGTGAAATACAATTGTAAATATATGTATATTTAAGACTAATTATTTTACAAGGTTATGTTTATATTTTACTGTTACGTCAACAGTAATCTTGTCCTAATATTAGTTAATTATTTTATTCATGCTTGTACATATTAAATAATAGTGTTTTTTGTCCATTTTGTATAACAAAGTTATACTACATTTATAAAAGGTTATTTTTTTCCAAATACCTCACCAGTATTTTTGTAAAATGTGATTATAAACTGCTTGCATTGCATGAATTTATCATAGTTAATTGTACACATACTACAAAGCATTGCCTTACTTTGATGTCAACACAGGACTTGATGTGTGGGTGTGATGGTCAAGACATTCTCTTATGCACAGGGACTATGGAAAATGTTATTGGCTAACATGTATACACCAAAAGAGCATATATGGTTTAAAAAGGAAAAGAAAGTTTTAATAGTAACTGGAAGAGATGTTTTGTGTAGAATAATAAAACTTATTTTAGTAAAGTGTTTTCAGTTTGTTAACATACACAAATGGTAGTGAATAGTTTAAACTAGGAAGAAAAACCTTCAAGTATTTTTTGTAATTTAATCTGTATGAGATGACCTTGTGCAGTTTTGAACTATGTTGAACTTCATTTCACACAAAAGCAATTTCACATTTTTTTGTCTTTTTCATTTCTAACATTGACTGAGAGAAGATAGAAGGCTCTTCTTGTGTAGAGAAAAAGATTGAATGTTTTTGTTTACTTTGATTGGTCTTTTTAAGCTATGCTTTCTTCTAGTGAAAACAATTGTTTAACAACAACTGAATGAAAAGAAAGGTAGTTTAGGATTTTCTAGTTATGTAAGTTAATAACATTCAGCTTATTTAACATCCATTTCCATTATTGATGAATTGAGTAACATGAATAGAGAACTTGTGTATTAGATCATTTTTGAAACAGGTTTGTAATGGTGATTAAATAAGATACTGACCTACTACAGACATTTTTCATGCACCATTTGGTCAGTCGTGTATCTGTATAGCAGTTAATAGTTTTGTTGTGTTTCAATACCTAAATCAAAAAGCTATAAATGTTAAACTGAAATGTAATTCACTGTGTTTTAGTGGGAAAACTTGATGTTCATACTTGATGCTCAATTTAAGAATTTTCTTAATTTTTTTTTTTTTTTTTTACAAAAGTAAAAATTATTGTTTCTGGTGAAGACCATATAGTTCCTTATTACATATGCAGTAATTCTTATATTGCAGGAGGAAGTCTGAAAAGTTTACTAGTGGAAAGATTCCTTTGTCCAATTTGTCAGAGAACACTTACCACAAAACTAGGTCTACAACGTCACATGGCATTGCATGGGCCTACTCGTGATCGTCACTGCTGTCCAGTTTGCCATCGGATGTTCTGGTGGCGCCACCATTTGCTGCGACACCTGAGGACAGCGCACTCACCATCAGTGGCTGATGCCATGAAAAAACAATAATAATGAGCTTGTTTTCTACATAGAACTATTAAATAATTATTACACATAAACAAGACATTGTAAAAACAGTCTTTCACTATTTGCCTTATTGAAATTATTTAAATAAAAGAAGTTATGTATTGAGAGTTATATACTCTGTGAGTCCTTACATAATTTCATTAAAACATAGTGGTGAAATTGTTATAATTTGGTTTGTATTTATTGGTATTAGAAGTGTAGAATACTAAATTGATGTAGTGGTCCTTTGAAACGTGTATCGTGGATATTACTAACATGCCTAAGAATATAAACAAAGAACTGATTGAAATATAACTAAGCTGCATATGTTATTCTGTATATTATTTTAACTGCAAGTGATAATGTAAATTTGGTATTTTTATGAAAAACATAATATCTGATGAAGGTCAAGTTTGCAATTTTTACATATAAATTTCCAAAAAAAATTAGTAAATTGATTAATAAAATTAAGTTATTTTGGTTCATTGAAGTTTTTTTGTTAGAAGTATAATGAATATAAGAGAATGGTTATTGAATTTAAAAGAAATTTTATAAACTGGTCTTTGCATGTTTGCCTTATTTGTTAAGTTCTAAAAAATTTGTTGGTAGACAATTGTTGAGTTTAACAGTTTTAACTGACTGTTGGTTTCTTTCTTTCTTTTTTTTTGTTCAAGTTCTAGGTGGTACAAGAAGAAGAGGAAGACCACCTCGTATGGGATTTTTTGCCAATCGAAGGAATCAGTGTCCTATTTGCAAGATAAGTTACACAAACAAAAGCATCTTGGAGAACCACATGAATATGCACCGACCTCAACGCCAGATGTACTATTGTGATATTTGTAACAAAGGATTTTTCTGGAGAACTAATGTATATTCTCATAAAAGAATGGTACATCACACTCCACCATTAAGACTCCCTTTCCCTGCCACAAGCAATGCACCAGTTTCACCTAAGTCTAATCAACCTTTTCCTTCCATTCCCCATAGCAGTAATCCTTTGTCACCTCAATCTCCAAGCTTTGCACAACTGGCATCTCATAGAACTCCACCTTCTACTCCTCTTCCTCCTGCTTTTCCTGGCCATATGCCACAGGGTTCCGGGCTTTCAAGTAGTTGTGCCGAAATCGGTCAATCCTGTGCTCTTTCTGATCCAGCTAACATATCACCATCATCAGTATCAAGTGTATCTCGATCCTGTGGTAATAACCTAGGACATTCATTGATCAATCATAAACAACCCCCTTTGTCCTCAACATCTCTTGAAAAGAGTCCTTCTTCTATCAATCTAATCAATGCTGCAGGATTTCCTAATATTCCTCAATTTCCCCAACCTATTGGTATATGCTCTGACCCCTTCCCTACCATGTCTCCCACCATTTCTAGCTTGTCTCTCTCATCAGCATACTCTCCTGTTCTGCATCCACCAGCAGGAAGTGCTGCATCACCTGCATTTTCAGGCCAGTCTCAATCGACCAAATCATCAGAATCTTCAGAGTATTCTCAGCTGTATTCAGCAGCATCTCCTGATTTCTTTAGTGATTCTTGATCATGAATATCATAATTTTATACAAAAAGATTTCAAGTTTTAAAAGTTAGGAGTTATTCTGTTTAAGAAATCCTGTTATTTATGTCATTCGAATAATCACATGTTTGTTTTTGTTTACATATTAAGTAAGGTGTAGTTTTGTCTCTCATATCAGTTACAACCTCTCAACATGTCATTGTACACGTAAATTCATTTATGTTTTCACTTTATTTTTCCTCCTACAGTCATGAAAGTCTTTTTGTTGTACCACTGTGTTAGAAATTAAGCAGCTTATGTATAACCTATATACATTGTGTAGTTTAATGTATATCTTGTTTCCAGAAGGTCCGTATCTTCTTTGTCACAGTGTTTTTGATCATAACTTTTTATATATATTTGGAGTTGCATAATGTGTTTCCTTACCAGATGAAAATGGAGCCCAAAGTATCATAGAAAGTTATTGATATAAACTGGTATATATTTTACACAGGTTCATAGAGCATCTTGTAAAATTACGTTACATACTATTCAGGTAGGTAAAATGTAACTTCCATTCAGCCTCTTTTTTTTTTGCCTGGTAAGAGAAGAAGTGCTAGAAATCATTCTTCACAGATGAACTTTGTAAGATACATTTTCTGGCTCAGATACAGTAGTAGAGATCACTGCCAGTGTGTCCTGACATGTTAAATGTGCCTGCTGCTCAGCTTCGTGAGTTCAAAATGGATTCCTCCTAGAGTGCAGCTTACTTATGGTATCATGGAATTGGTTTAAATGAGTGACCTGTAAAATACTCTCGATATTTTCTTTGTGTGAGGTATTTTTTCATTATATATTTATTTTTTAACAGTTCAGTATATTTTAGCAACACTAAATTTATGCCAAATGTAAGTAATCTTGTATTTCCAATTTTTTTTAAGCCCAATATTGCAAGTAATGTTAATTTTTTTCTAGTGATTTCTACTTACCAAAAGTCATTCTCTGTATTATTAGAGAATTAGTGCCATCTTGAGTAATGCATATTTACAATAAACATCTTTTGTGGATTATTTAAAAACAAGAAAGATATTCTGTAACTAGTTTATCTCGCAATTAGATTTTGTATATATTTGTTTACCACTCATACAAGGGATCTCATAATAACACAGTAATACTGAGTTTAAACTAACAAAGTATTAATGTCCAGAGAATGAAGTGAAATTCTCTTAATAGTGTTATATAGTGTAACAACTTCTTCAATTGTAACACACTGTCTGGTGTCAGCTGATTCAACAAAATAGATGGTTTCTTGTACAGACAATATTTTTTTATAAATTTGTGCTTTTTTTTATTGTTTACAAAATATTGCTGCTAAAAATTTAGTTTTTGTCAACTTATAACGCTCTTGAAAAAATATGATATGGCTTTATATACATGGTCTTAAAGAATTTGTCATATAGCATATAAGTAAATGGCTAGAAATTTCCTCTTTAATAATATGTAAAAGTGGTTTTAATATACCCTGAAATGGTGAATATGAGATCCAGGTTTTGAAATTAATGTAAACTTGTATTGTGAGATATTTTTGTGTTTCCTAAATGATAAGTACTTTCAGTAGTGGTTTAAAGTACAACAATTTTGATGTTGTGTGTTAAAATTTGTATATTAGTGGGATGAATAAATGGATAACTAAAGTAGAAAATTAAGGTTTTATCTGTTTAAATTCAGCTTCTCACTTAGTTATGGACATGCGTTTAGTGTAGCATAACTTTTTCAGATCATACTTGTGTGTAAATTCAGCCCAACTTTGAAGTACTTTGGAAACTTTTTGGGGCATGCACTGTAGCAAATTACAGCTTTTATAGTATTCTTTCAACACACATTAAGTTATCATTGAGATACTTAAGTCATTATTTTGATCTATGTTTTTGCAAAATATTTTTGTTGCATTAAAAATACTTATACCTGTTTTTAATAACTGATTTCTGAATAAATTCAGCACTTTTTTAACTTCATTTATATAGCCTGCATATAATCAGTGACATGCTTTCTAAACTCCTATTAATATATATCTAAATGTTGTCTACTGCATATTCTCAGGAAATTTACATAAACTCAACCACAAAATCTCAGGACTTTTTTCTACATAAACATTTATAAGGTGTTGGGTTTTTTGCAGAATACCATGGATTTTAGGTTTTTTATCTTCTCTCCAGTAATTCCTTAGATTTTCTTATATATAAAACAAACCATGGGTTTTGATTTCTTTTAAAGGAAGCTTGGCCATAAGTTCACAGGTATTTTTCTACAGTCACAAGTTCTAATATATCTTTACAGACATAGTTTTAGATATTTAACATAGAATGTAAAAATTCAACTGCAACTCCTCTTGTCTTCATACTATAAAATTTTAACCACTGTTTCTTAATATAGATTTTCTCTAGAAACTCATTTTCTACTTTTCAGGTCATTCTTTCATACAAAATTTGGTCATAAATTCTGGTGACTATTCATAAGTCTATCTTATACATAAACAGCAAAAAATTTCTGGTCTTTTACTAAACATAACTGTAGGTATTCGTCTTTTGTTTTTCTCTCACTCTCTCTAAACAAATTCAGTCACAACCACTATCTTGGATAGTTACAGATTCTCAACCACGGCTTCTCCGGGCTTTCTTGTACATGAACTTTGCCAAAAGTTCTTGGGTCTTTTACAGAAACTATTTATAAGTTGTTAGTCCTTAGATATTTATTCTGCACAAACTCATTTACTAGACTTCAGATCTTTTTACACAAATAAGACCATAAGTTCGTATAGTTTTCTGCACAAATGCAACTAAAAGTTGCCATTTTTTTCTTCTACATAAATAAAGCCTAAATTTCTCAGGTCTGTATTTCACTAGTCTAGTACAGATTCTTGGGGATGTTTTGTATATTCATTTAGACACAAGTTTTCAACTTTTATACATGATCAGCTACGCATAATCTCTCTTCTTCATAAACCTAGCCATTGGTTAGATTTTGCAGTTTTCAGTCCGTTTACATATCAACTGTAACAAGTTCTCATCAAGTTTTCATCTTTATAAATTCAAGCCACAATCTCTTTGATGTTTTACTGAAATCAACCATTAAATTCTTAAGTCTTGAAATTAGCTATAACTATTAGGTCTTTTCCAGAAATTTTGCTACAAGCTCTTAGATTTTCAGTCTAAATCACATATTAAAATTTTTAGGTCTTTTTTTCTTATTTTATGAAAGTTTTTTATGGTATAAAGTTATTTGCAAATCCTCAGCAATGTATATATATATATATATATATGGATATATATTTTTATTTATACACGCACATAAAAAGAAGAAATAATGGATGATATTGTTCAGTGTTTATAATTTATAAATGAAAGTTAATGCTATAATTATGATATGCCAATATACTATGTCTTCTTTTTGCCTTGTGCATAGAAAATTAAGGCCATTAAAATGTAAAGAGTTTCATAACATGGGAAGTTTCATGGACAACAGAAAGAGATAATGTTATCTTTTATTGTTTTATGAAATGTATGATAATTGTAATGGAAGAAATCATGGATATTTAAAAAAAAGAAGACAGTGTAGGAAAAACAATTCACATTAAAAAGTTGCTAATTGTAATATTACTCTAGACAATTTATGGAAGAAACTATTGTTAAGAGGAGAACTTCTTTGAGGAAATTGTATTCAGTTCATTAATACTACTGTTTACATAAGTAAACTCTGTTGATTCAGCTTTATTATGGAGGATAAGAAAACTTTCAAAATAATATTGGCTTGTAGAAGATGATGTACTACTATTCACTTGTTATTGAATGTTGCTTATTAGTAAGAAATAAAGATATTAACCATTTTCTTTCTACAATGATTACTAGTTTTTTGTATGTGTTTTTTGATTGGGTCATTCATAGATGTCTTTTTTTTCTGTACTTTGGTGGACTCTCAGAATGAAGCATGTAATTTTTATTCCCTTAAATATTAACGATAATGTATTTATGTAAATACTTTTTATAGAAACTTAAAAGATCATGAAAAGCAACACAAAACAGTTGGATTAACAGATACCATAAAAATAACTGAGTGCAAGTATATTTTAGTCATTTGTCAGTAGACTTTCAATATTTACTCACAAAAGATTTATTAACTATAAGAGATGGAATATGGATCTGATGTTTCAACTTATTAAGAATATAGAAATTTTTCAATAAGTACTGCAATTCTTGCTCTTTTGTGTTAGTGTGAAAGTGTAATACAGGGGGTTGAATAGCTTTATATTAAAACAGTTTTGGAGCCTTTCTACCTTGTTGCAGTCCAGGTCGCCATATATGGTCATTATCTTTCTCAATGGTTCCTAAATTTTTCAACTGAGGACCAGCTAGTCCTGATCCCCAAGTTTCATGGACCACTTCATACAATATTGACTTATTAAAGTACTCCTAAGTTACATTGTAAAACAATATATGCAAGTTGGTATATTTTAAAACGTATATTTTTTTTTAACCATTTTGTGGATCGACTAAAGTCTCCCAATGGAATGGTGGTTAGGAACCAGTAATCTGACAATAAGACTGCAGCATAGTTTCCATTGTAAAATCCAAAACAAACCACCCTGCATGCTTTCTGTAATCCATCTAGTGTACAGAAATGATAGTTTCCTAGTGAACATATCAACAGTCTGATCATACAAAAATTATTCCATAGGCACTTCTTCTGGCAACTTGACCAGTATACCTTTATATGGGATATCATGAATAGTCATTTCTTTCTCTAGCTGCTTAAGGATGCAATAGTTTAACGGGAGGTATTACTGGATACTTTATCTTGGTGGACCCATACCATGTTGTACTCATTTTCAGATTGAGATCAAGATCCTTTTTGATTATTTTACAAATAGCCTTTCTTTTTGTGAACTCTCACCTGTTACATTCTAATTATCATGGCAGGAGTACAACTTGTTGCATTTCCCTTTATGGATGATTTTGGTACCATAATTTGATCCATATACTTTGTTTTCCAGTGTAGTTAAGTACAAGGGATGTCTGTATTTTGGAAATTCTAAATACCTAATCTGAATACAGCTTTATGACCTGAGTGTATGAAGATTTTGTATTGGAAAGGGCTGTTACATACACTTCCCAAAAGTAATCAGTTTTTGGTGGTATCACGCTACCTATGAAATGCCAAGCAATGTCAAAATTTAGCTCTGATACATTCTGTTCCACTGTGATTATATCAGCAGTGGTTGTCACATGATTTGCCTATTTAAATTCGTTTTAATATAACCTACTCAACCATTTAGCTTAATATACCATAAATGTACATGCTTTCCTCATGCTCATACTTATTAAGAAACAGCTGGTCATTGCAATTATATTGTTACAGTATAATTGGGGCAAATGTGACAAATACAGAACTAAGTGGTGTGTTTATTTACATAATAAATACTTTAAAAATAATTATGAATAAAAAACATTAAATGAGAAATGTAACTAATAAGTATTAACTTATTTTTGTTTAATGATTGTGCAAGAAGTAAAAATTAGAAGGTTTAGTTGATAAATCTTGGTATAAAGTAGCTTATCCTGAAATTGTGTTTACTATCTTGTGCATTTTATCAATTATTCATCCTGTATATCTTATACTTCAGAACTTGCTTAATGAGAGCATTTATAGATTAAATAAACAATTAATTACAACAATTGAATTTTTTGCTCTGTGACAATTGCATGGAGTCATAAGACTTGCTGCTTGTTTTTCTGTGTTTAATGTTGTACATTAGACTTGCATTGCATTTTACCCATATTTTACAGGTATGTGTTGATTGAGCTGTATAGTTGAAATATGTATTTAATAAAGTGTGGATAAGTTATGTCATTAGGTGTGTGTTTATATCAACAATGGACTTTTAGCAGTAGATATACAAGTTGTTGGGTCATTATACGTGTGTTTATATCAACAATGGACTTTTAGCGCAGATATACAAGTTGTTGGGTCATTATACATGTGTTTATATCAACAATGGACTTTTAGCAGTAGATATACAAGTTGTTGGGTCATTATACATGTGTTTATATCAACAATGGACTTTTAGCAGTAGATATACAAGTTGTTGGGTCATTATACGTGTGTTTATATCAACAATGGACTTTTAGCAGCAGATATACAAGTTGTTGGGTCATTAGACGTGTGTTTCAGTAAAAATTAATGTTCTAATTCATCTGTAGAAAACAAAATATACTCTAGTCTTGTTTTAAAAGAAAATTGCAAGTTTTGATTTTTTAATATATATGTTTGTACATCACATTATTCAATAGAATTTTAACATTGATTTTAATTTACCTGTAAATTAGAATATTCCAAGAAAGGTTGATGAAGCAAACTCTGTGGTAGGTTTTTGTAATTAACCATTTCAGATTACTTAACTGTTTGTATGTGCTGACAAGTGTTTTATTTTCCTTTAGGACACAGGTTTCGATCAAGACTGGGACGACCAAGAAAGCGACAAGAAACAATGTTTAGGCGAGATCTAGTTTGTCCTATTTGTGGGATGGACTATGCCCAGAAGAGCAGTTTGGTACGCCACATGAACATCCACAGAGTACAGAGGAAGAAATACTACTGTGACATATGTAACAAATCCTTTTTGTGGTTGGACAGCCGCAACCTTCATGTAAAGACTGTGCATGGGCTTTCCCGAAGTCTTTCAAATGATTAGGACTCATAATTTGTTGGTATAAAGATATACACGGAGGTTATGTTGAACTTTGAATATTTGTATTAAGTTCTTTAGTAGGAATGTTAACAAAAAAGAAAGAAAAGCTCCTGACAGTATTATCAGTTTCAGTTTATTTTTTACTTGCTATCAACTTACTTAAAGTACACATAATAAAATACCACCATATTTTACTGTAAAACAAGAAATTAAATTTCAGTATAATCTTATCAAAAATCTCTAATACAAAACAGAAAAACCTATTCAGGCAATAATAAAATATGAATTTTTAGAAGTTACTGTGTCATAGCTTATATCATACTCTATATCATGCAATATATGATTAATATCAGAAACTTGTATCTTTTATTGTTTATATACATTTTATCTTGGCCAGTAACAATCCTTATTGCTTGATTTTTTTTCATTTCATATATAAAGATGTATATTCTGAAGTGTTCATTTTTTTTTGTAAACTACCCACTGTTCAATATGTATTTTGTTGTGGGTGAATTTTTAGTTATTTTCAAACAATTTGTATGTTTTTCTATGTGGGTTGAAAGATTCATCATGTGTATTAATAGTAAACTAATATTGCTATATGAATGGATTATCCTACTTTTAAAGTTGTCTTGTACCTCACCAACATAATAACACACACACACACATTTCTGTAGTAGTGTGTGAGAAAAGCCAGTGCATTTGAACTAAGTCATATTAATTAGAAATCATTTCTTTGTTTGATGTTTCCTGTTTTTATTATATAGGTAGGCATGGCATTTTTTACAAATTATGATTTAGCTTGAAAATCTGTAATTAGACTTAATTTTCTATCAGATTTGTGACGAAAATGTAATTATTTGTTTAACTTGATGTATTTCTATTAGCATGTTTGTATCTTTTTTTTTTTTTTTTGCAATGTTGAATAATGAAGGTTTCATGGAATAATGAGAAGTGGTGGGTTGAATGATAATTTGTTTTGGAGATAATGAACTACATGTGGTGAAAGCTGAAGTGAAAAAGATTAAACAGTTGTGTAATCAATAATTATCTTGATAAACATTACCATTGACTCTTCTGATCATTTTTGAGTCACCTAAATGCATTTTCAAACATAAATGAAAAAGATGCATGTTGAGATTTAGTCATTGGTGATCAGGCCAAATGATGACCTTAATAGATTCTTCATGGTGACCTTATAAGCACCTTTTTTCTTTTTGTTTTATTCAATATGTTTATCCTAGATGTGAGGTTTCTTACCACATATCATTCAGTTTTTTCCTATGTTGCTCATTGTTTTATGTTCAAAAGGAAATCCTTTGAAAGCAGAAATGTAAGTCTAAAAAGTGAAGTACTCTTAATAAAATCAACAATACTTATAAGATGTTAAAGTTAACTTTTTGAACATGGGCTGGCTTTGAGGTATAGTGTATTATCTAACACATTTCTGATTTATCACAGACTTCATCTTACATTATCTTAAAATCTTGGAAGTAACCCACATAATAAAGTAATGCTTAGAGAAGACACAAAATACATGTATGTAGGATCGTTATTTCGGAAAATAATTAACACAATTTGTGGTTTATCACAGACTTCATCTTACATTATCTTAAAATCTTGGAAGTAACCCACATAATAAAGTAATGCTTAGAGAAGACACAAAATACATGTATGTAGGATCGTTATTTCGGAAAATAATTAACACAATTTGTGGTTTATCACAGACTTCATCTTACATTATCTTAAAATCTTGGAAGTAACCCACATAATAAAGTAATGCTTAGAGAAGACACAAAATACATGTATGTAGGATCGTTATTTCGGAAAATAATTAACACAATTTGTGGTTTATACATTTACATAAACTAAATTTAGTGCTTACACTAATATAAGCACTAGAGACTTATGCGTTTTGTCTTTACACAAAATGTCCATGATATTCACCTGACTTTTGGTGACATGCTATTTTCATTTATATAACAAGAAAATGAAATTGCCAACAATTATTAAAAATTGTTGGGTAAATAAGTTTTTTTGTTGAGATGATATTTACATAGCAATGAAACCTGTGGTATCCCTGGCAACTCCCTTAACTATACCAAGGTACAAGTATTTGACCAATAAGTTTGTTAAAGTAAAACTATACAAACCTACCTGTAAAAAAAATACATTTTTGTTTACAAGTCTGTATGGAAATTGGTTTATTTTGAATTCCTGCAAAGTGCAAGCTTGGATCAGGAACAAAACGTAAATACAGCTACTAGTTTTACATTATATTTGATGAATGTTGGTTTACACTTAGGTTAATTTAGTAGAATACTGTTACTCTTAGTAATTTCAAACAACCTACTCCACAAGATTTTTTATAAGCTAAATAATCTATTGATCAGAAATATAAGGCAGTCATTCGCCATCAAAAGAAGTCTTGCGTAAACGCACTTTATCCTGTTGTTTATGTTTGTTACCGTTTTGCTTAGTGGAGTGCAAGCGTTACAAACATACCTACATTTTTAATCGACGAAACACGTTTAGATTATCTTTAAATATTTTTGGCAAATTGAATTATGTAGCTTTGGATTAACCGAACTAGACCAAACAAAAACTGACATTTTGCATTTTTAACAATCACACAGTTGAAGAGTAAAGCTTGTAAAACCATAAACAAAGGTATATATGTTTTATGTGGTTACTGTTAAATTTTTTTAACTCTCTCTACAATGGGCACATATTTGGAATACACAAGATAACTTTTTTTTTACCTTGAAAAATGTGATATTAACTACGTGTAAGCTTGGAAATTTAAACCTTCTTGAAGAAAGGGTATTCCACATTAAACTTTCAAAACTTTACAAATAAATAAAGTACTAAAACACGTGTTTTATTTTTGTTATTGTGTAGCTAAAACTGAACCTGGCGCTGGGAGAGTTTATATATATAATAGTGAACGATTTGATGTTCACCACAGGATGCTACCGGTAAATTCAGATGTCATGTAAAATCATATGTACACTGTGTGAGTAATGAAAATATCACGGTGATTATGGAAGTATTATAGACGATAGGTTTTGTCCCAGTATTTAAAAGGGAAAATATTAAACTAAACTTTTGTTTTGAAATTATGCTGCAGGAGTAACGCAGTAGGTATGTTTCAAGTTATTCTAAATTTAAGATGTATATAATTCTTGAATTTAACGGACATGCTCATCAGAAAGAGAGAGGGGTTTTGCATCTATTCGTCTAGTGAATACGTGAAGCTTTTATAAACGCATAGCTATCATTGTCTAAATCTCAGTTCGCCAAAGAAAAGTAATTAGAACGCAATAGAAAAGAAAAATGCACGTTGTGTTTTCAAGTTCATTTTAACTGGGTCGGGCGTGGTCTAGTAGAGTACGTGTTCGGAATCAGAGTGCTCATGGTTACGAGTCTGTTGCTGTAAAAAACGAGCTCGGTCAGACGAGTTTGTGGTAGGTGCTGTGCTGCCTTCCTTTAGGCTATGCGCAGAGCCCTTCACGCGTAAATCCTGAAACAATTTTAACTTTTAATCACTTTCGCGCCTTAAGACTTAACGTGACAAATACAATTGATATAAATATGTTTAAAGTAAATCTCTCTCTCTTTTGTATTGTTTGCGAGTAACTTGGAATCAGCGTCGACAGCAAGGTGAACTTGGAATTATATCACAATTGTTACTGGAGAATTGGGCCATTAAGGAAAAAAATTATTAGCGGTCTTATTGTGGTGTGCTATTACATTTATTACAAACGTAAATACTAATAATAGCTATTTAGAATGTGTTTGTTGATTATATTTATAAGTGTTAGTCACACCTTTTTACTTCAACCCAAAAATCATAAACATAAAGTATGTGGTTTTGGATCTTAAAAAGATAAAACTTTTAAACGGTATTGTCACAATTTTTTATAACGATCGTAAAAATTCAAAAAAGTAGTAAATAAGCATTAGATAATGTGGGAACGGATGTACATTTACGTCACGTTCCGTCAACTGAAGAAACTTTTAATGTAACTATTTCGGACATCCATTAGTCGTATTTCAACTCTTTTCGGAATGTGACAGTTTCATGTTATCGTTATCACAGATTGATCCGGAGACGTGAATTTCACGTTGGTGCTATCAACGGTACATGTTAATATGAGCTATATTTCTATTATAACAGCAAGCTTGTTTTAATTCTCGTGTTGTAAATTGAAAAGTGGATTACATTGATCAAAATACAATGTAATTTCGTATATGCTACATATTTATGGTTGTCTGTTTGTTCTGTAAGTGCATGTAAAAGTGTTATTTGTTTTAGAATATGCCAGTGAACATTTGTAAATATTGTTTTTGCAGCCATTTTTTACATGTACCTATCCAATACATATGTATGTGCATGATATACATAAGCTCCTGTGACGTATCATTTCATCCATTTACCCTTTAACACAAATTTTTTATTGTGTATATATATAACTATTTAAAAGACTTATATAAAGATTCTATGATGAAATAAGTTGTATAGCAGCAGTTCTCAAACATTTGTCATGGCCAGGTGGTTAGGGCGCTTGACTCGCAATCTGAGTGTCGCGGGTTCAAATCCTCGTCCCTCTAAACATGCTCCCCCTTTTAGCCATGGGACGTTATAATGTACCGATCAATCCCACTATTCGTTGGTAGAAGAGTAGCCCAAGAGTTGGCGATGGATAGTGATGACTAGCTGCCTTCCTTCTAGTCTTTCACTGCTAAATTAGGGACGGCTAGCGCAGATAGTCCTTGTGTAGCTTTGCGCGAAATTCACAACAAACAAACTTTAGTATCCTGAAGACCCATTTTAAATGAAACTTTTTTTGCGCCCTCTCCAAACCTGTCGGTGTTTTTTGTTTCGAAAAAAAGATTCCGCATACATGAAAAGTTGTATTCCAGAATTAGTGATTTAATTCATATAAATTACTTTAATCTATAAATCATTTAAATACATATATATTTATGTAATTTCGCACATGGCTTGCGGACCCTAGTTTGCTTTTTACGCATTTTTTCACTCTTTTTCATACATATTAAAAATTGTCAATAATGTAATGTTTAAAGAAAAAACACTTTGGGCAAACTAAGAACAAAACAGCATAATAACGCACAAATGATTAAAGAATTAACATATTCTCAAGGGTTTGTTATGGATTTCGCTCAAAGCTACACGATGGCTATCTGCACTAGCCATCCCTAATTTAGTAGTGTAAGACCACACACCGTCAACTCTTGGGCTACTCTTTTTACCAACGAATAGTGGGATTGACTGTAACATTATAACGCCCCCACTGCTGAAAAGGCGAACATGTGTGGTGTGATGGGGATTCGAACCCGCGCCTTAACCACCTGGCTATACCGCGTCATTCTCAATGGAGAGTGAAAAGTTAGGCCTATCGAAAACTAATCGAATTTTTTGTAATGTTATGTTAATTATCAAATCATTTGTGTATTATGATATTGGTGTATTATTACTGTTGTTTTACTCAATGCATATTACAATCGGAAATATAATGTAGAAAAGTAGACAGTAAAGTGGAAATAGATAGAATACTTTAACTTTGGAATAGCTGTAATTATTTTCCGGCATGTCCTCAGTGCAAAAATTATCATAATAATATAAGCAGCTTAGTGTTAAAAATTTAAGTATAAAAAGCTTTATTCAATTTGGTTTCTTCGTTATATTAAATAAGTAGTAGTGTTTAATTTAACAATAGTGTGCGAAATTAATTATTCATGCGGGCTTATGTGATTAGGAGCATTTATTAACTGCAACATATTTGGCAAGAATATCTACATGTAAACATTTGGTTGTTTGTTACTAATTAATTTTTAATTAGGGTATAAACCATACAAAACTACATAGAAAAAATCTTTTAGGTTATTCATAGTAGAAACTATTTATGGTAAGTTGTAGTATGTCTTGATACATGTGCTAATTAACTAAGTTCATAAAATCAGGTCTTAGCTGTTTTTATCTTGCCAACAGATATGCCTCTCCGAAATGACCAGTTCAAAAGAAAAAGAGGACGCCCCCCTTTGGCGGGAAAGTCGAGCTTAGTGAGCCTTACTTGTCCGTTTTGTCGCCAGAAATACTCCAATCCCTACTCGTACAGCAAGCATGTCGCTGTAGTGCACGCCGCCAACAGAGAAAAATTTTACTGCGACGTATGCAACAAAGCTTTCATGTGGCCCAACAGCGTGGCAACTCACAAAAGGGTTGCTCACGGGATACAGCCTATGTCTCCGACCCTAGAAAATTTCTTTTAGTTAGATATGTATTTTGTTTTTATTCATTTTCATCTAGTGAAATGAAATTATATCCCTAATTGTTAAGCCTACCAGTACTTCAATCTTGTATATTAAGGTAAGGACTATCAGAAAAAACAACAAACATTATAACAAAAAAAGAGATATTTTGACAAATCGAAAGTAAAAGATTGGCTAACCAGTCCTGCTTGGTAGTTAGAAACGTAAGGATGTCGTTGTTTTAATATGTGGTATGTATTAGTGTACCTGTAAAGATGAGGCATCATAAAGAATAAGAAAGTTTTATAATGGTTATGTGTATCAACTTGAATAATGTAATAAATATTTATAACTAATCGCATTGGCTAGAAACTTGTATGCAGTTGCTGATTGAAGAAATTAAGTTCTATGTGTTAATTTCTTGTCGTTAGAAGATACTGAAAATGAGATCCTCTTCACCCAAACTAGCGGTATGTTATAATAATCTATATTTCAAGTTCAAGTGTTTAATTAACATACCATTGTTACAGTTATAACTGCTCCATTTGCATGCAATTCATACCTCCTAAAAATTACCACAAACTCTCTAAATCATTGTTCGCCGCTTTTTGTATTAAAAAAAATTTGAACCCGAAATCATTTTCTCCATTATCTTTGTTGGATTTCCTGTCATTAAACTTCCCATGGGGTAGGGGAACAACCGTGTAAGGTTAATCTGTTCGCAGCCATTTCTGTATGTTTTCTACAGTTATTTCCCTTTCTCTCTACCCATATTCTCAGTCTGCAAAGTTTTGTTTGTCTGTAAACGTAAATAGTTTTGTCTTGTTAAAAAGATCTGCATCCATAATGTAAAAAGTAATTTGCCAGATACAAATTACTGAAAAGAAGGGGCCCGGCATGGACATGTGGTCAAGGCGCTCGACTCGTAATCTGAGGGTCGCGGGTTCGAATCCCCGTCCCGCCAAACATGCTCGCCCTTTCAGTTGTGAAGGCGTTATAATGTTACGGTCAATCCCACTATTCGTTGGTAAAAGAGTAGCCCAGGAGTTGGCGGTGTGTGGTGATGACTAGCTGCCTACCCTCTAGTCTTACACTGCTAAATTAGGGACGGCTAGCGCAGATAGCCCTTGTGTAGCTTTGCGCGAAATCCGTAACAAACAAGCATCATTGTATTTAACAACAATCAGACGTAAAACATTTTTAAATGGTGTTCCTTTAAACACACCTGTAATTTTGATTTGATATCTATGTAAAAATGATTATTTATAAAGAGTTGACTTTAGAACAACAATCGCACACTAGCCTTGTGTTTTTTATAACTGTTATTCTTTGATGATTTTGTTTATAATTTAGTGAAATAGCCAAAGCCAAATGGCATCAATTTCAGGGGCCTTTTTTTTTTCTTTCTTTTTTTTTTTGCATGTGGGATGTAAGATGTGTGATGAAGGTTAGATTGTTCTTGGGAGCGCTTTTGTTTTCCTATAACAAGCCCTTTTTTTTCAGGAATTGTACGATTTCGTGAATTTGTCTGTTCTGGAACATCAGGATAAAAATCTTTCACAAAGTGAGCGAACAACTGCATGTTCACTTAGAAACTCGGCAAAACCCCTTTCCCAACTTTTTTAAGACTGTCATTTTCAGATAAACGCACGCGTGTGAGGGTATATATATATATATAGAGAGAGAGAGAGAGAAAGAATAATGATGATAGAAGACCGGCGAAATTTAAATTCTTATTCTTTACAAGAAGGCATTCATAATTTAAGCTGTTAGCTTGTTTGAAACAAAATGTTGGTATCAGTTAAGAGATTTTATACGATTTCAAAATCTGTAATGTATAACTTTATGCACTGTGACAAACATTTTTACCTCTTCATAAAAAAAAGTTCCTAATGTAATAATGCATGTAAACTGTAGCTCATTGCTAATTTCAAAACAACGCTTTCTCCGGCCATTCTTTCACTTGTTTGTGTGTTTTGTCATTTGAAGTCTTTTTGACACGTATTAATCGTATGTTTATCTTTATGCAATGTAATGATATATATATATATATATAAGATTAATAACCCGAATTTCCAAGTTTATCTTATTAACAGTGATCGTCAAATTGGAAACAGCGCATTTAAACTGAAATATTTTGGCAGTTTAGTGGCTCAGACTAATATTTTTTTCATATAATTATTAAAAAGATTGTGATTTGGAATATTCCTTACACTGAGCGACATGTTATCTTCATAATTGTATGTATTCGTATATTTAGTTAGAATTAACAGTAAAAACGACTTGGCTCATATATTACAGGCTAATTATTGTACATGTGAATATACTTCCCACCGATTACTGTGTTTTTTATTTATTGCAAGTGTATTTTCTCAACCATATGGAGTTTATGGTAATGTTAATAGACTGGTGCTTACATTTAATTTAGTTTCAGATATTGTAGATCGTTTTTGTTTTGTGAACAAGGCTAATGAAAACGTTATTAAAGGCAGCTTTTTTTCTTCTATTTAATACACATTTAATATAAGTGCACTTTTTATAGGAAACCTGAATAAAATGACGATTTAAAGGAAGAGAAACCTGGGCTTACTTTAATGAGTATTTTAAGCTTGAATAGTGTGATATCAAGATGTAATTATTATTAACTTCTGGTTAGAGCGAAACTAAAAATCAACCTGACATTAAATATAGCTACTTAAATATATTCTTTTTTTTAAGTTCTTATAAACATTAGAATGCATTGTTTTATTGTTATACTAGAAATTCACGTGAAGAATACGTTTACCCGAAAGTGAGCTCGTCTGAAAATGCCCCAATGATTTCAAAAGTTATTAGTGTTAATTGATAATAATTATATATGTTAAGTAAACTGTACAGCCAAGAAGTTGTGAAGGTTTTCAGAATAAAGCCTAATTATATACATATTTAAAGAAAAATATTAACAACAACACGAGTTAAACTTCCCCGATGTGTAATGGGTTTCCACCAATAGACTAGTATAACAAGAATTAAAAACTATATTGGTGTTGTTAGTATTTTATATCATAAACACTATAGTTTTTAACGAGAAAGATACTAAAGGTTCTGAATTGTTGCTGTTTCGTTAAGCCTAATTGTAATTGTGTAACAAAACTAAATTTGTGTTATATGTTATACAGGAAAGATTTGTGGAGAAGTCTAGTTACATTACTTAAATGTAGTGTAACCCTGAAAGAATGAGGATATAATTAAATGTAATGTAACCCTGGAAGAATGAGGATATAATTAAATGTAGTGTAACCCTGAAAGAATGAGGATATTATTAAATGTAGTGTAACCCTGAAAGAATGAGAATATAATTAAATGTAATGTAACCCTGAAAGAATGAGGATATAATTAAATGTAGTGTAACCCTGAAAGAATGAGGATATAATTAAATGTAATGTAACCCTGAAAGAATGGGGATATAATTAAATGTAGTGTAACCCTGAAAGGATGAGGATATAGTTAAATGTTCTTCTTCATTGCATATTTTCTTTTCTTTTGTTAGTATTTAAAATTATTTGTTTTGGTTAATTTAAACCATTAAGATTTGCATTTTGTTATATCCAACTTTTTGAAGGTATTCGTTGGTAGATAGTTTAGGCAGAGTATTCATATTGAGTTTACTCGGCGGAAACTGCATATTAGAGAAACTTCTAGAAAATATTGGTGACTATATAGTCTACTTATGCATCTCAAGTGTAGAAGATAACGTTTCGAAAGTATGATTTAAATTACCATTAAATTATAATCTTATTTTTTATTATTGTACAATTGGCTGAGAAAGTGCTATATTGAAATTAATAATTATTATTCTCACGTTGTTTAAAATTAGGCTTCTAACAACTGTGTTACTACATTTGTTTTCACGATTAACATAAATTACGTTTTTAGATGAATGAGACTACCCGCGTCATTTACAGGAAATATATTTTTATTATATCGACACTTCGACTGTCCAACTGCGGCTGTCGTTTGACTATTTCCTGTCAATAACGTGAATAGTTTCATTCATTTAAAAGCCTTGTTGCTGACAAGTAGAAACCTTGTGTAAAAGCTAGTACATTCAGTGTTTCTTGTTTACTTTATATTCCAAGCAGTTAAACGTGCTGTATCAATGTAAATCTGGTCAAATACGTACTTAAACATAGTAAGAATTTAGATTTATTGATTTCTAAAACAAAGTACGTAGAAAAATTGATAATCGCTGAATCACTGTTTTTGTTGAATAAATTGTTTGGAACGTGATAACTTTTATTTGGGAGAAACTATTCGAGGAAGTCAAATGCTCTGATAAAGAACACGCTAACTTTCACGTGTTTATGAACATAATATTAACATAAATTATGCCCAGGTTTTAATTATAAAGAATATTAATGGAAAATAAAAATCAATTTTTATTGAAAATGTAATTAAGCATCAGTAGTCATTAAGGTTATATTTGCTTGTTATTACCTTCTACAGGTAATAATCCTATCATTAGGTGGTAGTTTTGGTATATTTTCTGATTCACTTTTCAGATTTATAGTTGTTTTTTTTACCTTCTGAATTTTAAATTATTATTTTGGGACTACCCTGTTGTATTATTATTTTGGGTCTAAACAATTAGGATTACCCTGTTGTATTATTATTTTGGGTCTAAACAATTAGGATTACCCTGTTGTATTATTATTTTGGGTCTAAACAATTAGGATTACCCTGTTGTATTATTATTTTGGGTCTGAACAGTTAGGGTTACCCTGTTTTATTATTTTTCCCTATTTGCTTGCACAAAATATTTTACCACTTACGATTTAGAGAGTGCTATTTCCACAGCTATCTTCTTTCAAGTTTATACTTTTTGCAACTAGTATGTATTTTTTGCTTATGTACTGCACGATCTGAATGCATTTAGGATAAATTCTATTTGTGTATGGTTCATATTTTACCCACGTGTATTTGATGTTGATATGTGTAGAGTTTTTGTATTATAGATATATGCATGCATTACATTTTATATTGTATTTTATGGAATAAAATTTGTTTTTAAGAAAATTAAAGTATTTATATTTATGTGTACTTTTTGAAAATATGTCTTCGATACACGCATAATTTTTTAATTAATGCAGTGACACATTTTATTTTTGTCCTAATATATATAATCAGTTTTAACTGTACCTAAAAGCCTTTACATTTTAATTTTATTATAGCCGATCTATCTTTAACTCTATAGGTTGGAATGACAAATCCATTCGGAGATCAAGTAGACGTCCACTTAATTCTGGGCCAACAAATGTTCAGTGTCATATGTGCTTCAAGATCTTTAGTTCTCAGGCCTCCTTAAGGACACATCTGTATTTTCAACACAGAAGTCACCGTTATTTCCCTTGCCCAGTTTGTGGAAAGGTTTTTACTCGGAACCATCATCTTAACTTTCACATGCAAAAGATCCATTAATCACACCAAATACTGTTGTCAGATGCTACTTCTAGGAATTCAAACTTATCTTACGAAAAGTAAAACTGAAAGTACACACTAGTGTAGATTGTTTTTGTATTATTTAAAGGTTGCAGTTATTAGTTGTCACTCATTTCTGTACAGTTAAACATTGAAACCTAGATGTTCACCCATAAGATCTTGTTTTATTGCGTTGAAATGTTAAAAACATTATGGATATTAGGTTTTACACGTGTCGTTTGAAATAGAAAGAATGGAATAATAGATAAGAAATATGATAATTTTGTACTTATACGATATGTTATATTGCAGTTTGTAGTACCTGCATATATATATATATTACAGCCTACATGTAAGCAGAAATCTGTTGAGGTCTGTTTTTGCTCATAACGTATTTGAAATGTCAAGAAATACGTTTGACAACAAGCATACACGTTCTGATCTGAAACATCTGGAAATTTGAAGAAATTTAATAAAATGCATTAATCGAACTGAAAGAATTGTATTACATTTCGTACAAGAATAAGATATATTATAAGAATGTACTTCTTCGTTTGTGACCTACTTGAAAGAGCAAAACGAGCCTATCTTGAACACCTTTTTACTGGCGAGACACTTAAAAATAACAACACATAAATAAAGATTAAATCAACAGGATAAGATCATTATTATACACTAATTTAACGTTTGGAAATGAAAATTTTATAGTACAATGATAGACGTACACATGACCACGATATATTCAGGTGCAGATGTACAAATGTTGTTTGTAAAAAATCAAAAAGAAAGATGTATATTTAAAGTGTATATCCAGAGTTTGTATTTAAAGTGTATATCCAGTTTGTATTTAAAGTGTATATCCAGAGTTCGTATTTAAAGTGTATATCCAGAGTTTGTATTTAAAGTGTATATCCAGTTTTGTTTAGAACAAAGATATTTAATTCGAAATGTTTTTGTAAAAGTAATAAATCTTCCGTGAGGAATAGCAACTTCGTTTTTGTTTGTAATAGAACTAGTCTTTCTCCTCGTTAAAAAAAATTGATATATAATAAATGTGTTCAAAGGAGTTAGTTTTTCATTTTATATGTAAGCTTGCTTGATTTTACAGAACCAAAAAGCGGTGTTTTTGGTGTTTTCTTTAACTTTAATTTTATTGTTAACTTAATACTCAACTCAGCCAACTTTTTCAGGTAATATAATTTTAATTATTGTTGACTTTTCAAGCTGTGTTTGTTTCTGTAGCACTGCAGCTAGAACACACTGGTTAATAATAAGTAACACGACTTGTGGAAAGAACGCATGACTACACGTAGTTGTTGAAAAACCCGCATCATATGACGCAATACGCATACACCCATTGCAGACTTGGGTAGGGAGCATACCAGTAGGAAATCTATTTACGGATGTAAAAATCACGTGACACAGGGTTGGCGCCACGGGTAACGTCGTTTGGCATTACGGTGCGGATTTTAGTGCAAGTTGTTTACAGGTACATATGAGGCAGGTTTTTGTATGCTGTATGTGACTGAAATTTTTCACAAGTGTGTAAAAATATTTCGTACGTATGAAGATTGCTTTTGCGTTACTATTACCAGCCAATCAACTTTTCTATGTTTAGAAATGGCAGAATATTTCTGAATATTTTGAGGTTATAATTGAAATTTCTTTATGCATGAAGATGGTTTATGTGTAATCGAAAATTCGTATGTAGTACTATGAATATTATAGGGAGAATAATTGAATATATCTCAATGAATTTGTGTTAAAGGTTTGTGCCACGAAAATGGAGAAAGTTATTACTTTAATTTAGATATATTTCATTCTTTGATCATCAATGTGACTGCACGATGTGACCACATTTAATGTTGTTACATGAATATACTAATTCATTATTGAAAACAAATTGCAATCTTTCGAAAAATATAATTAATTTAGCCCGTGTATAGCAATTTCGTGGATAATAAAAATAAAATTGGGCACAAAATGTACTCGTATTAAGCATACATACCTTTTTCATATCTCATTAGGCCATGCGTGGCTCATTGTTTTACTTACTCGTACTGTGAAATTGAAGGTTCATGGCTTCAAAAGCTCATTCTGTACTTTTGCGGCTGTAGGTACGTTATAAGTGTAGCTATGACCACAACTGCTGTCGAGACTAAAGGGTCCGAAATCGATCATAGTTATATCCCTTTCCGGATAGTATGTGCGCCTTTAGTTATAATTCAGGACAGTCTGTTATTACCTTTAGTTATAATTCAGGACAGTCTGTTATTACCTTTAGTTATAATTCAGGACAGTCTGTTATTACCTTTAGTTATAATTCAGGACAGTCTGTTATTACCTTTAGTTATAATTCAGGACAGTCTGTTATTACCTTTAGTTATAATTCAGGACAGTCTGTTATTACCTTTAGTTATAATTCAGGACAGTCTGTTATTACCTTTAGTTATACGCATAGAGGAACTAAAATTTATCACACTCATTATCTACACAACAACATTTTTTTTTTGCAAATAACCGTTTGCAAAAATTCAAAAAGAAAATTCGCACAAACTTACGCTGGCAGAACTTAAGTTCTCGTATATATCTACCCATTATTTTATGAGAACAGAAATTATCTCAAGTGTCATTGTAACGTTTTGTAAATTCTTTTAAGTGCGTTTAACAGAAATTGCCTGTAACCCTTAAATTTCTGATTTGAATATTATTAATTATCTTTACACTTTTGCCATAATACTCGGTGTAAAAAACTGATAAAGTAAAAAAAAACAACATGTTCTTTATAAAATACATAGTAAACACCAACAATAAGGAGTAGGATTAAAAAATATGTTATTTATAAAATACATAGTAAACACCAACAATAAGTAGTAGGATTAAAAACATGTTCTTTGTAAATACATAGTAAACACCAACAATAAGTAGTAGGATTAAAAAAACGTGTTCTTTATAAAATACATAGTAAACACCAACAATAAGAAGTAGGATTAAAAAACATGCTCTTTATAAAATACATAGTAAACACCAACAATAAGAAGTAGGATTAAAAAACATGCTCTTTATAAAATACATAGTAAACACCAACAATAAGGAGTAGGATTAATAGCAATGTTGATGGGTTTTTTATAGTATTTTTGTGATTCCTATATTGTTGTGTAACCAAGTAATGCGCTCACAATCATTTTGGTACATAAATGGTTCAGACAAGTGTATGAAAAAAAAGTCGATATCGGTAATACTAGGGTTAAACGTGCATATAAATAACTAACTATATTTTTTATTTCATTTTGCTATCGGATAGCTTATGTACTTACTGGATTATTTTGTGTTTATTTCGGTTTTTAGTTTTCAGAAAAATACGTATATACCATAAAAACCCCATCACTGAGGAACCACACTTTACCCGGGGTTTTGTAATAATCTTAAGGTTAGTAACATCACTGAAGAACCACATTTTACCCGGGGTTTTGTAATAATCTTAAGGTTAGTAACATCACTGAAGAACCACACTTTACCCGGGGTTTTGTAATAATCTTAAGGTTAGTAACATCACTGAGGAACCACACTTTACCCGGGGTTTTGTAATAATCTTAAGGTTAGTAACATCACTGAGGATTTAAACTTTACCTGGGACTATGTAATAAACTTAAGGTTAGTAATTCGATGACGAGGAACCCACTTTGAGACTAATAATGGCTGGAGACGGCTTGGATGGGTAATGAAGAAAAACTTTAATATAAGTTTAACATAACAGCAAATGTACAACGTTTCGAC